GGTTTCTGGCAAGTTTATATCCCGAACAAATCTTTACGTGTTTCGTGAGACTTAGTGTAAAAACATATCAATTCAGCGACCCATACCCTATCTCCATCTTTTCACATCGGAACCTGGGATATGGACGTGCCATAAACTGACTATTGTACATATCGCCGTCGTGCCGTACCTCTTTGTCTTGTGTATTTTACTAGAGTTTTTAGAGTTGTGTATTTTACTAGAGACTGTTTTATATGATGAAAGTTTCTTGTACTTGCAAGAGGTCACGGGAAGAAGGTAACAATCAGCATTGCAACTTTGACTTAACTCGTAGGTCCATAATAGGCTATCCCTGAATTTAACTTTATCTTATTCTCGATATATGATATGACAATAGCAACCGCCAATCATTTACCTCGTGGTCCACCAATGACATTAAACAACATGATAGGCAACTCTGACGTCACTCCATAAGACTACAGGCAAAACATTGTATTTCATGATACGCTCCAATGCACATATTTCTCGTCGCCTTTCGCGTCCGTTTTCCGCTCGCTCTTGCTACTCGGCGTCTTTTTTACGTATAGTACCTGCCTTTTTGCGCCTGTAACGAAACAAAATAATCTCTATATCTAAGAAGTTTTGCTTACTTGGAAAGCTGGAATAACAGGCAAGCTGTAAAGAGCAATTCTGGACATCATAGACGTTTTTTTTTTTATCACAGAAGATTACAAACGCGATAGCGGAAAGATTTGTGTGGAACATTTTGCAGATAATGACAAAGTTCAAAGTTAGTAATTTTAATGTTTGCGCTTAATCATTGAAATTTCATTTAAAGAGGGTGTCATACAAAACTGTGCTGCGATACAATTCCATAACACAAAGTTTGCACCTATCGAACTTGCTTTTGTAGGTGAATTTATTAGACATATTACATATTCAGTTAATCGTAGGTAACATTGCTGGTACATAATGCATCGTAGATAGGTTTGTTTAAATTTAGGAATTTAGCTCATAGCCCACTAATTAATATTATCTTCTATGCAGGAGGTTGCAGGGCTGAATTCAACTTGCAGCCTTACCGATCACCTGACGATGCTCATTTAGTTTGGCTCGAGCAAGTCTTCTTGAAATGCTTGTGTGGATGGAAACTACCTATATTTTTTGCCTTCCTCCGATTTTAGACAAATTTATTCTGAGGGATTTCGCATATAATTCTCACTGATTATTGGCTGTTTATAATTCCTATTGATTGTGAATTCTGATTATAACAATGAGTTGAAAATTTTTTTACCTAATTTACTGGCACCTTTTTCTTGTCAATACTCCAAGCTGAGGTAATAAACATGACAATACATTTATGTCATCTGGAAGCAAAATATGCACACTAATTAATAGTTTGGCACATTGAGATAATACATCATGACAGAAAATACAAGTTAAAGATATGTATGACCAACACATGGTAATTAAAATTAAAAAAAATTAATAGGGGCTGTGGAGTATGGAAAGTTCAAGACAAAGAAAAGAACAAATGTTCATAGCTCATGAACTCTCAATTTTGCCTCCATTGCTTTGTGAAGGCCAGTATATTTCGAGTGGCTGAATTGGTTTACCTTTATGATAGCAACGATTTTGTATTTAATATAGCGAGATTATTTCAGTTTAATTGAAGTGATATAATTTCCCAAAGCAATGCTTGAATCGTCTAGAATAGATCAGTGGTGTCAAACTCATGGGTTTTCGAGAGCCGCATTTTGAAAATTGTAAAAAGAGCCGCAAACAGGTTTTGATAATGTATACTTAAAAGATATTTTTAAGATAGTTTTAGTTTGTGACATATATTGTGATGCAACTAAACAGTTGGATTAAGTTTTATTATTTTCTTCAATTTCAAATGCAATTACATATTAATATTTGCATTCCACTATTATTGCAACATTTGCAAGTTACAGTATTTATTATAAAAAATCGTAAAATTCTATGTACAACCATCAAAATCATTTTTGAACAAGCTTTGAATAAGGAAAGAATAATACATACACTAAAAATAACTTAATCTAAATATATGAACCTAAAATTAACAAAAATACTACAGTATAAACTCAATGTTTTAATAATTACATTTGTCCTGGCGTTTGGCATCTTTTTTGTGTCACCAGCATACTAAGGCCAGTATGAAATGATTTTATAGTACCAACTCTAACTAACGAGGCCACATTATCATGGGTTTATCTGGATCTTTACGAATGTTTAATTAATTCCAGTAATGCAAAAAAGTTACTTTTATCATTTCATGTATAGATCAGTAAAAAAACAAATGACAGATTTTTTCGACAAGACATTTCGCACTACATTGCGTGGCATAGGATTGCTTGAATTATTATTGATATTGATTCTTAGTAACTAAGTCGTTGTATAATTATATTAATATACAAACACATGGAAATTTTCTGTTCGAAGTTGGTCTTCGAATTTGTCATATTGACTGCTGAGCTTATTGTGTTTTTTGATTGTATTGATGGAAATATGACAAATTAAACAATGTGCTTCAGAATTTTGTGAAGAGCAGAAATGTTACAACTCCCATTTTCTTCGAAAATTCCACCTTCATGTACTTTGCGTTTAATTTAATTACTCAAGTGTTTTATTCAAGTATTCTTTTGCTAGCTTGATGTGTATTTTTAATTGGGTCAAAATGTGGACAAAAAAAATCAATATTCCAAAACTACTTTCAGTAAATTGTTTTCTGTGTGAATAATCAATTTCACTTTAGAAGGTTTGAAAAATCTATTACATTTAGATAAAAAAAAAAAAAACTTCCAAAATACTATTACAATTATTGTTAAACGTTCGAGGGCCACACTGGAAGTTCTCTGGGGCCGCGAGTTTGAGATCCCTGGTCTAGATTGAAGTTGTTCAAAAAATATATGATAGTATTTTATCATGAATGATGATTATACCCCTTCCGGAATTTCTTCTATAGTACTACCAAAAGTTGATGAACCAAATATAACACAGGTGCAGTGAGGTACCCGTAATTCTCATTTCCAAAGCTGTTTTAAGTATGTCTGGCGTGTTTTGTGCCTTTTTACAAATAAGACCGCTTATGCAATCTTACGCTTTGGAATTTTTAGTTATTTTCCTCAAGCCCTGCAGGATATGGGGGCCATACACAACTCTACCGGAGGGTCAAATGTCTTTGCATGCCTCCATAGGTTGTTTTTCTATTGCAATTTTCTATTTGCAAATGCATTATATTTCTTGGAATCACACTGTCACTGATATGTCGCCAGACTTCTGATATCTCCCCGTCTGCTATAGTTGTCCTGTGAATAAATAATAGGAAATTGAGATTAGACGAATAGTTGAAAGTTTTGCTTTATGTCGGCTTAATTTCTTGATTGATATACTTACTATTTCTGCTATTGCCTCTTGTGCTGCAAGAGTCTCACAATGCTTAGACAGGTTTGTCCACAACTTTCACATCTGAAGAAAGAGAGGAGATTTATTAATTTTCTATATGATTCAGAATGGAAAAGCTAATAAATCCAATATCTCATGTTTTATTTAAAAAATATTTTACTGAATTTGGTATATAAACCAACTAATAAAAGGCTTTAGTCAGAAAATTACAAGCATTCGTGGCTCCAAATACTTGAGAAATCAGACTATACAATATAGACCGGTATGAGTGAAATGTTAGGTGAACTTGTTAACACTTTGATTCAATACGCAAATAAAAGTGAATGCGTAATAGTATGTTACAATGAGCAGCAATCAACAATGAGTATATATCCTCACTGGTTAAAAAAATCTAACTGGAGGTGCATGAACTATTTGAAACCATAAGGGGTAAGTAAATATGTAATTTCGGCAAATGGGCAACTACGTACCGTACTGAATTAATAACTTCGTAGTATTTGACAAAGGCTGGCTTTCACACATGTACTTAACAGTGCGATGCCCGGGTGTGATATACAACAATAGTATTCACCTTACCTTTTACCGATTTCTTTTTACCCCAACTTTCAAAAATATCATTAAAATCGACAACAACTGTCAAAGCAGGCACGAACACCATTCGTGCTACGCCTTGAAAGCAGCACACATCCGCTCGTTTTCGTCTCGTCAAGTATGTGCATTGGAGCGTGCTATCGAATACGATCTTCGGACAAAAATGCCGGAGTTGCGCATCATGTTGTTTAATGTCATTGGGTCCACCTATAAATAAGCCGACTTCGACGACATCGCATAGGCGTAGCCAGGGGGCCGAAGGACCATCCCAAGAGAGCAATGCTCAAATATTTTAGTCAAGAAAGCTAAAATGAAAGATTATACCTGCAATTTCCTCAAGTCATCTGGACGAAGTTGGCACGGTTACCTTACCAGGGTCAAGTGCAGTTTAGTACTTCTAGTAGGTTTGGCGTAACAATTTTTGCACATGCCACCCCCGATATCGATCTGACTACGTCGTTCGAAAATTGCGTCAACACGTAATACAGCTGGCCATTGATTCTGTCGATTGCTCGCAATGTCTTCTCTGACAACAACCAGATCCCTCGGTAGTCGAACATATTTCGTTCTGGATTGGCGTTCGACTACCAAAACTTTTTTCACCATAAAAGGCAATGGTTATCATTTAAGTACGTTCTTACGCATTCCAGAATGTTAATAACAAATGTACCTCAAGAACAATTATTGCAGTCCCTCCCTGCGCAACATTAACTTTCCTCATCATTTCCTTATATTAAAAAAATGGTAAACTTCGCCATGCCATACTGTGAGCGGAAGGCGAGATCAGACACCCGAACAACATTGTTGTGCTGGATTCGACAGGCTTTGAACGATGTTGGATGTCTTCGGGTGAATCACCCGTTCCATATTGGATTCGCATACATATCAACTATCGCGAAACGTTTGTAATCCTACTGCAAATCATTACACGGTTTAAATGTCTCGCCATCAATGGTCGAACATAAAGTTAATTACATGCTTGATAGTACAATGAACTTAATAACTACCACAATACAAGTTTATTTAGATTCCATAATCCACATAATAGACGATAAAATAATTGATGTAAATGAAGAAAAGCATGTTGTCTGCATCACTGCATTCCCATCCATGGCATCATAAATAGAAACAATACTGTCTGTTTTTACTTTTGTTCAAGAAATCCTAGCGGTAAATGGAATTCTCATTATTTTTTTCCGAATTAGTTAATGATTCTTAATGCCCACAATAACAATTACATTCATTATCATAGATAGATAGATTCGACCTCGATTCAGCTGCAAAAACAAAACACAAAGAGATTAAGAATCCGGGAAGTGAAAAAAAACTAATAATAAGTTCAAAACGTGTTGAACGCGTTCGCCCACCAAAAAAATAAAAACGAGTGGGCGGGCCATTACTCAGGCGTCTGATTTTGTAATCAGGTTGCGCGCAATTTACTCAAGAACAAAACATTGAACTGAAGAGCGGCTCTGCGAATTGTATGCAAACAGACAATCGAAAGAATTATTTCTAGACAAAATTGCGTTTCTTGCTTAAAAATCAAAACATATCTAGTGTCTAACATAATTTCGACCAAAAAGTTTACACAAAATTGATAGAGAGTTTACAAATAGTAAGATCAGGCATTAAAATTCTATATATCCAACCCCAATCTACTATTGACCGAAAAGGTTACACAAAATTGTAAAAATCGATCATGAGTTCACAAATAGTATTATCACTGATCAGGCATTAAAATTCTATATATACAGCCCCAATATACGAGAACATACCAAGCTTAATCTTGTGTGAACTAATCTTCAGACTTGCATGCAGAAGTTGAAAATCTCCCTTCCTGAACCTCTTTGTTGTACGTTCTTAGTCCCACAGTCAACAATTTGCTATTTCTGTAATCCGTTGTTTGTTTTCTTGATGTCACTGAGTCTTTTATTTACTTCTCGAACAAAAATCTTTGGCTCGAATTAGCCGTGTCCCCACCTGATGGCGGTCGGAATGGAATCACGATAAAAAGTATTCCAACCGAACTGGCATGGCTCAACATACTGATTGCATTACTGTATTCCTTACCGATTTACAGTGATAAGTCCAGATGGTGCAAAAATCCCAAAATCTCATGGTATTAATTTCTAATCACGATACATAAGTTACAAAACCATACATTATCGAAATATAAATCAACATAATATACAATTATATCACGATCAGATCCATATAAAGTTCAGTACAGTTGAGTTGATCAATGGTGTCTCAACACTAATCATAAATCCAAGGATCAGGAATATTTTTTGTAAATCTGAAACAACACAACAGATGTTATCAGTATTTGCATATTTATCCTTGGGGAGAAAAAAGTCAATGAGATGACTTAATAATATGGCGAAACAGAGCTCTCGTCCGGTTACCAGTCCATGTCAAGTATGGGAATAGTTAGCCAGTTATTTGTTTCAGATGTATGGACCGTATAGTGGAGGAAGCCGTAGCTGACCACCCTACAGTGACAAATCTAGCAATCCTCTGCACATAATTATCTCCCGCAGGATTTGAACCTGTGAGGTGCAGTGACGACTGTATTACTAACAATCGGCATGATGCACCACATCGCCCAGCCATTAATAAATTACAATGGTAGAGTCTCTGAACGTCGATGTGTGAGTCAAGTCACAGGTCATCAGAGTCTCAAGTCAGAGTCCCCGCAAAGTTCGAGTCACTGCAGAGTCACAAGTCGGGTGCTTGAGTTATAACAGATAAACAAAATTGAAATGTGACATGAAACTTCCAATTTCACCCGGCCTGCGATGAGATTTTGACCGGCCCACTGACTTTAGTAAATATCGATTGACATGACACTTAACGCTATTCATGTCAGTACGATTAGAATAACAGCTATGAAGTAGTAATATGAACCTTTTTATTAAGCAAACGGATTATACAGTAATCACAATCATAAAATATATATCGAAACTAAAACTTACAGTTTCTGCATCATTAGTGGAAACTTTTTCAACCTTGGATATTGAATGAATTATTGCCTCTGAATATAACACATCTTGTACAAGTCGAGTCATTCTCGATATTGGTAATTTGAAATCGTTTCTGAATAACCACAAGAGAATTGTAATGAAAAACAGAAAACGATGCATACATAAAGATAAGTGTAATATAAACTACCTTCTCTGAAATTCATATAAAACACCTCTTAGATAACGTGTTACATCATCTTGTTTTTCTTTACTTTTGAAATATGGGAAAAAATGAAGAAGTAACCAATTTCTGTATTCCCGAACATTTCCTCTGCCTGCTTGAAATTTCTTCATCCTTTATCAACATTGATTTTAGCAACATTGAAAAAAAGTTAATTGGACTATTCTAACTAAAATTCATCAATGTTTTTCACCTTGATGAAGATTTCCTACATTTCAGTATTTCTTCAATGTGGTGTTTACAATTTCCATCCATTATATAATTAAAAACTTTTTGCTTTGATTGGAGATCAGAATCTCTGCGTTTGGTCTTATAATTTTCATTCGCTTCCTGGCTAATCTTTGTATTTTTTTTTACATTGCCACGGAGAGTAGAACGTTTTTTAGGAGTACAAGTGACAGTTTCATCCCTTTCATTTAATCCACTCTTATCTGCTTTTCGTTTTAGACTTTTTTGTGAATTCCTCGCACTTTTGCGTGTACTAATTTTGGATGGAGTATCTGATGGGGAAGAATTAGGAGATCTAGCATTATTTGGACTTTTTGTAACCTGAAAATAAAACTGAAATTAGAAAGAGAGTGGCGTCATTTAGCAATTCTTATAATGGGGTTGCATCAAATGCAGAATCTGAATCACTCAATAAAAATGTAACTAATTTCAAATATTTTGATATATGATTTATTTTCAGAGCTCAACAACTTTAGATAAATATATATAATTACCGCATGCAACAGGGACAAACGTCCATGCCTATACCATAGCCTACCTTTCTTGCTCTTGTATCTGGAGCATTTATCACTTGCTTCTGGAAGAATATGGTTTTCTCAGGTGTGGTATGACAAGCATCTAAGTTATAACAAGCTAAAACTTCCAGTTCGTCCCTCTTTACAGAAGATACATGAAGAATAACTTTCTTAGGAGTAAGAATGACACTAGTATTATTTGATGATGACATTATCATCTATCTTTTAACAAATAAAAAGTCATGAAATTCATTACACATGTTACTGTATATATATTAATACTAACATACTAACTGCAGGCTTGGCAATAAAATATACATAGATCTAGCAAGCATAATATAAAATGTATCGTGGAAGAATGGTATTAGTTACCAGGCACAGGAATAAACGATAATAAAACTTATTTTTCAATTTTCCCCAACATATTTTCAAGCATGATTGTAAAGATTGACTCGTTTCAGTAGTTTTGAGTGTTGTTTGTTAGTTTATAATAATGTTTTTAAAATTTCAGTATAACCGTCACTTTGTTCTGAGAAGTTTTTTAGTGTAGTTGAAGTAATCAAAAACCGCCATGAAAAACGAGATGGATGCTTCTACATTTCAAGACAAAATGATGATTTTCAACCACCAACTAGCAAAAAAAAGAATGAGCGTTAAAAATTGCATTAAATATTGTCCTAGGACCAAAGGCAGAGAAAACGTTCATGGAAAGTCAGTCCTCAATACTAATTAAAAAGGCAAGAAGAAATTAATTACGGTACTATACTACTATATATATTCTCCCAATCTAGTATTTGGTACTTATATAATACGGTATCTCTTATCGGTAGCTAACAGAATTTTTTTCAACTGAATTCACGTCAAGTTTTCCAGGACATTACTATATCCACTGAATTGAATAGATTTGAAATTTGGTCTTCTTCGATATACCATAGTAAAGTCTATTTACCGGAAATTTATACCATATAAGTATCGTATATATGTAGATAAACATAGAAACAGGCACAGGACATATGTTCTTCATTATTGAATTTACAATGATTTTGTCAATTTCTCTGTTCCTTCTAATTTGAATATATTCAATATCCTATAGTACATTATCATAATGTTTCAGTTTTTGCCTAAGCTTGGCTATAACCTACAAAAGGCACAATCACATATCAATAAGAGTACATCGAGCACATGATATGACCATAATTCCACTGATATCCTCTAATCGGAAACAAAATCTAGATAATAATAGTAATGAAACCAAAGTTGTTCAATCAGTTTGTTGAACTCTGGTTTGTATCTTCAGAGCTTTGTGTAGCCTGCTGAAATATTTGTTTCCCAATATAACTTGTAGCCATACTTCCAAGCTGCTTTCGACTTCCAACTTTACATCGGATATACCCAAACAAATTTGCACCATTCAATCCCAAAGCAATAATGACCACAGCAAGCCATTGAGGTTTCATTCCAAAAACAGTACTGAAAAGCATGAAAAACCAAAATATCGGACATAATATCAGTCCAAACCAGAATATTCTTGATTCCGCAGCCAGAACCGGATGTTTCTTGAGAGCAGCCCCTCTTCTTGATTCATAAATCCATTGACTTTTACCATCCTCTTCTATTTTGTTCCACCACCTTAATCCAACAAGCAACCTGCCGCTTATGTTTTTAACAGTCCAAAAATCAGCACAGAGCATTAAAAGTATTGATATAAAACTGGCTACAAATCCGGAATTTGTGAGTCCACAAAACAAATAAATGATAATTGCAGAAACTCTGAAGAAGAGATGAAAAAAGCAAGCAACCGGGTGAGCAATTCTCTTCTTTTTCTGGGGTTTATCTTCCTCTCCAAACTCCAGAGTTGTATCATTTATATCATTCATGTTGGCCATATAATTAAACAATACAACTATAAAAGTATGAAAAATAAGAAATTATTATTTTCGCTACACATGTGAGAAATACTAAAGGACAGAATACATTCGAATACTGGTAATAGAATATATGTCGTATATTATACTTTACAACCACAATATAAGAAAGTCGCATAGATCTTGTTTAAAAAAAAAACAGGATACTACAACAACGGTAATTTTTGAAACACTTATATTTTACTTTTTATGGCATATTTATATGAGCATTGTTGGAAACCAAGGCTGTGAAGCCGACTCTAAGCCCAAGGTATAAGAAAATTTGACTTCAACTATAGCTTTGAATTTCAAGGAAATCACATTTTTAGAACAAAAACTTCAACATATGCAAGCAATCTTTATTAGAATGTTATTAAAAACACTTACAGTAGTAAACTTTATGCTTTTCGAGTTTTCGTAAAAAAATTGAGTTCTCTCATCATCATTGAAATTCCGACTCCAACTTGGATAGTTCGAAAATGAGATTCCAGTGAAAAAAATGCCAAATTCAGACTCAAAAGATTTGTTGCATTATCATGAATTTGAGTTTGGACCATCAAACAGAATGAGCAGAATATTTTATGACAGAATAATCCTTCAGGCCAAAAATATATTATAAAACAAAGTAATGTTCAAGTGAGTTCACCCACTTATTATTTAGCAATACTTAAATATAAATAGCATGTGACAGATACCGATGTATCGTCAACCATTTTTGAGACCTTCTTGTGGAGTTGTTGAATGCAAAAAGGACATCCCACATAATATAAGTGATGCCCCAACTCCCCACAACATTCCAAACATTTCATTAAATACAAGCCTTCCTAATAATGCAGAAAATAAAATATTTGCACCAGTATTTAATACCACAGCTTCACCAGAATTGAGTCCTTGCATTGATTCCACAAATAAAGACCACATAGTGGCATTCAATATAAATGTTAATATCAAAAATATTCCTCTTATAACAACTGACGCTATAAATGTCATATATACTTCTTCATCTGTTAATGGTGGAGGGTCATCATGCGCAATACTCTGGAACATCAAGGTAATAGCCAGACATAATTTGTTTATATGGTCTCCATTCATTCCCAGTTTTCCTGTGACAGATGCTGCCGCACCCAGGCACCCCGCAAACACAGCAAGCAATTTAGTCTTCATTGAATTCTTCTCATTCAATATTATACAAACTTACATTTAATAATGAATATTAGAATTAAAGAAAGCTTTGTAATTGCACAATGTGATTTATTGCAGTATTGATGAAATTATAACACAGCCACTACAGCACTAGACAAAAAGTACAAAATATACTAGAATAGGTGTTTTGGTAAACTTGAGCCATTGACTTGACCACACTTTACATTTTTTATTAAATTCAAGGCTGCCTGCAGTTTTAGAAAAGGACTTGAGTCAAAATATAAGTCTCTACAAACACTCAGAGAGACTTAACTTGATACAGTGATAGTAGAGATTCAAGTATATTAAAAAGACATATGACAGGTTTCTCAAATGATAAAAAAAAAAATGCTAAAAATGATTTAACATGGCACTCAGTCCTCGTTACTCCGATTACTCGAAATAGATCGTGACAGCGAATTGAATGATGTCTGGAAGTTAACGCATTTCATCATTTTCTGATTTTTAAGGTCAGATCCTAGGTGGCAGTGAAGTGTATTTGTGTATTGGCAAATGGATTTCAAATACTTCTCTTAGCATTTGGAGAATACTGAAAAACGTGGGGGAAAGCTCTAAATTGAAAACAGTGTAAAATACTGAAATAGCTCGGAGGAAAACTCCATTACTCGAACAAAATCTTGCATCGTTTATTTATTTAAAATATTCAAAATCAATCTCAGTCTCTGCAACCTGACTACACTAACCTGTCCCCTCCGTTCTCCCAAACCAAAGTGACTAGGCCAGCGAAACCAAAAATTATATAGGCCAATTCCTTTTTTTTAAATGGATCCACAATGTGAATTGTTCAATAAGTAAATAATAAATAAATTACATATAAATAAAGACATTGTGGCTAATTCTTCACTGGAAAACTAAATAGCCAGATACCGCACACTGTGGGATCGCTGTCATTGTGGAGTAAATTTCTACGTCATATTATAGGCTACCGTATTCATTAAACTGCCCGTGTTTTTCCCGTAAATAATTTCATCTTATTTCAATTTTCTTTCGAAAAATAACACTAGGGCTTATTTTCGGGGGATGTCGTATATTTTTATTTATGAAAAACAAAACTACAAAGTAGAGAATTACGAAATTTTCAAATATACAAAATATGAAAACCGATATCCATTTACTTAAATGACACGTCCTCCCTCACACGTTTAGATTAATTATTTGAAATGTATAGGAGAGATTTTTGCTATCGGGCAGGTCGAAAAAAAAATTGCGCTATTGATTAGGTCTTATTTTTAAGGGATAGCTTAAATTACGATCATTCTCAAAATTCTGGCTACGTCTTATTTTCGGGGTAGGTCTTATTTTCGGGAAAACACGGTATGTCTGCATGGTTTTTGCAATAAAATACAAATTCAATCAAATTCCAAATAATCGAGTGACATAAAAAAATATTTTAATTTAATCAAATGTTGTAAATAAACACGAAATGAAATAATTTTAAAACTCACAATAAAAGAATTTTTTCAAATATAAATCTGGCAACAGTAATGTAGTAATAATTGCAGAAGGGTTTTCCCCTTGTGATTTGAATGTGAAAATCGGATTTTTATATTTAGAGGATTATGAACATGTTCGAGGTTGAGTATGATAGCTACCGAGGTAAGGTTTTTAATAGAAATTAGCGTTTTTTTGGTAAGCACCATCAATGTACACAATGAAACGCTTTAGGTCCACAGTCTGTAATATTGTCTGTAATAGGACCACATTTACGAAATATAGCAATGCACAACTTCCTGACGTTTATTTAAACACTGAAATACCACCCAATACTGCCATCGTAAAAGCGTTGTTTATTACCATATATTTTAAAGTATGGTTTAAACTTTTTTTTCCGATAGTGTTTGACACATATAGCGTTTTATGTGAAATCAAATGTTCATTGTTTTGAACTTCATTTTATGGTTATGACAGTATGATGTCATTGACCATAGTGCTATGAAAACAGTTGGAAATTTTTTATCAAAATCTAATGCTGTAATGTAATTGTCAAATGTAAAGTTAATATTCCTTGATGCAAATTATATTTGCAGGTAGATATTTGACAGCAAGTGAAGAAATACAAGCTGGAACAGTGATTATTCACGAACATTCCTTTTCTGCCATCATAATATCGAAAAAGACAAGTGATCGATTTATTTGCTGTCATTGTTTCAAGGTATTGTTCTTTTGATTTGTTAATTCAATTGATGACTATAGTTTGGATATACATACAGGGTGTTATGAAGTCCTGTTACAGTTTTTATTTTAATATGAAGTTAGTTTTCAATATATCTTATCCGGGTTTTTACTTATCGATCTTAAGATCGGTAAGTATATTGATATGTATTTGTCTGTGTGTGTGTCTGTTAGATGCACGCGATATCTCACGAAAGCGAGATTGAATCTGCTCCAGATTTTGCATGTGCATTCATCTTATCTCGGACCAGAAGCCTATTGATTTTGGGCGAATTATGTCGTATAATTAGCGAGTTATCAATCAATTATTGATATAGTGATCTAGATTTTTGTAAAGCGAGAGAATTTTGAAACCCGCCGAGTGTGTGTGTGCGATGCGCAGTGCGCAAGTTACAAGAGCGGATGAATCGAAACTGCAGTTTCTGTTTTGGGGGATCCCCTAACTATCGATCGATAAGTCTTCGGTTTCCAACCGGTATTTTTTTTTTCAATTCATACATGAAGAAGCCAACAAACTATATATGGTGTCAATAAATTCCCTTTGCAATTGAAGACTTTATGTTATTGTTGACACCGTTTTTATCTTTTTATTTCTCAATCTTATTTTCAACAATTACTGTAGGTCTGTGACTTAAACGCTCTATAACAGTGAAAGGTCATTCCAAAACATTATCCAAACAATGGCTTTCATATCCGATAATGTATACATTTACTTGTTAGTGTTCTTGTTGTTTGTAAAATAAAATCTCTCCAACTGGATCTACTAATTCTTCCTAAAAATATTATTTTATTGGCAATAATATTTAATTCAGCCTTCTAATTGATACTGTTCTTTTCATAGGAGATTTTCACTACACCTGTACAATGTTTCGGATGCGATGATGAACTTTATTGTTCAATTGCTTGTAAGCTTTCATCATGGAAATCACATCATTGGATGGAATGTTTCATGAGCAGTCTCTTAGGAAAGGTTGGTTGACTTTATTTTGGATGTTTATATAATTTTGGGGGCAAGATTTCATTGAGCAAAATCAGTGGCTCAAGTTGAAAATATTTTGAATTAGATTTTTATTCATGCAATGTATAAAATAAAACAGTCTTCTACTAGTCTAGCTTACTATTTCATTTCAATATATGATGACCATATGGTCGTATTTCCCTCTTCAGTCTATACCGAATGACATTGTCTATTTTTATTGTTATGATGACTTCATTATGGTTGACAAAACAATAAAAAGCTCATCAATTTCGACTTTCAAAGCTTGATCAAGTTTGAACATACTAAAGCCCTCTGTAACAGAATCTTCCATTTGTGGATGTTTTTAATGTGAATGTAGGATAAAACTTCTGCAATATTTTGAGTTTTCAATCATCAATCTGTTAACAACTAACAAGTTCAAGCTGATTAGGAATCTGAGACCACAATTGGGTAGACCTCATTCTATATTACCACCTGTTTTTTATTGCTTTTTCGATTTGTACATTAAAAGTTACATTTCTTTACAGATGACCACTGAGCTGAAGCTTGCATTCAGAATAATTTTGGTGGCAGCCCACTCATTGTTTCGTGAAGAAAATTGCCAGTCTATTCATAATGTTTGTAAAGACATGTTTCAGACTGGTTCAACGTCTAAAAAACAAAAACAAGCTACCTCCTTAATAAAGTCATGTGATGAAAATTACTGGAGCATTTATTCGTTACAAAGACACGAAAATGAGAAAGCTATAAATGAACAATATTTATCAATGAAAAATGATATAAGAATGTTAACGAAAGTTCTTTTAAGTATCATTTCATTATACAATAACCTTGGCGATTTCTCTTTTCCTGGGAAGGATATTGAACACAATATTGGAAGTACCTTCCTGTATTCATTATTCAAAAAATTAAATTTTTCTTCATATTATGAGAACCCTAACTTCGATATTCGATTATGGAAATCTCACATAATGAGCTCATGTGATCCTGCAGGCTCAAAAAAAGGTTAGTGGACATTTATCAGAAAGTTTGTTTGAATATCATCTATTTTTAATGCTTTCATTTATTCACAGGTTTCTTTCCAAACCGATCAATTGAGGACATATTTTCTGGAAAACCATTAACCGAACAAGATTTACTGGAAAGATTGCTCGTTCACCATTTATTACAATTGAGAACAAATACGCAGGCAATATTCAAGATTTGTGAAGAAAAGGGTTGGTAGATCTTATTCATGAATAAATAATCAGCTATGATTGTCATAATTTATGGCAGAGGGAAATTAATGAAGAGGCTTAGTCACAGAGTAACGACAAGCTATCTTCAGAGTATTAGAATTGTTAATTAGTTGACCTATGTACAATTTTCATATTGATCGATATCCAATACTATCTTTTCATTATAATATAAATTGTAGAGTAAAACATTTCTTAGTGTAGATATCGCCGCAGTAAATCCAAAGTAGCTTATGTCACATTTTCAGAAATGGGCTTTTTTGATTCGTTTTTCTTTTTGTCCGGTTTTCAAAGGTGTACTGGCTCAAATCAAAACTTTTTGGTACATAATAATATATTGTGCGAAAGAGAATTACAGAATTTATTTCATACCTGAATTGATAACATATTTCTCCTGCAAACTATACATCAGGAATATTGCGCTGATTACCTTATCCATTTTGATAGATAGTCATATACTGGGATTCGTGCACATATTGGGTGTTTTTTGATTGTTTATTTTTCATTAATATTTTGAATATAATTTTAAGGGGTGCAAGGAGTCCAAAATATAGAGCAAAAGCGAATTGCATCTGCTTTATTTTGCAAGACAAGTCTGATGAATCACAGTTGCTCACCTAACACTACAATTTCTTTTGATGGCCTAACAATCACGGTATATCATTTTTCACATCTATCACTTTATTCTTAAGCATCAAATGTTTTTAGAGCTATAAAACCAGTCATGTGTTTTGCTTAATAAAACAGAATTGAAACTGAAGTTGATTAATTGCTCTGTAGTCAAAATGCCATGAAATTCTCATACAATGAGATTGCCGGCAATATATTCCCATGTGTTGGAATTACCATGATGAAATTAACGGACCACGTTTTAAGGCCATGCAAAGACGTTATTTTTCACTTATTCTCTTATCCTGGCAAACTGCAATAAATACAATATGATTCGTCTGTACCTTCTGTAACATTAAGGTATCTGCCTCTAAAATCATCAAAAAAGGTGAAGAAATTTGTCATTGTTATGGACCACATTGTAGTAGGCATGATGTGAAAGAGCGACAAAGACTTTTGAAAGAGCAGTATTTTTTTACTTGTTCTTGTGAAGGCTGTGCATCGGATTTAAAAGGTACTGTATTATTATCGGATTTAGGTTGAATGATATAGTTCAGCAAGGTATTTTCAATAATTTAAAAGTTTCAAATTGACTAATAATATATAAATCATAATTACATCACCATTTTTTTAAATTTAGTGATACACCCCGTGTATGATATTCATATAAATTTAATTTATATAAATAAAAAAAAGTAACCAGTTTGGCTCAGATACAGTGGAGATAACAGATATTATATTTGGAAAATTTGCAAAGGGTAATTTTCTGTTTAACACACCTCATCCAATAATTTTATCATGCATTACAGATGACAGTGAACAATCAAGTTTCAAGGTGCAGTTTCATGCTTTTAAATGCAAGTATTGTGGAGATCCTGTAAAGCCAGGTTTGTTAGATACATCCAGGATAATATGATAATTTTATGACATTATTTTAGAATTCATATACCATTATTTATTTGGCAACCTCTGGTAAATTACCTTGAATGGGTAAAAGTATTAATATTATTACCATACTAAAACAATCTATTTTCAGGAAAAGACGGTAGTGGTACATGCATAAACAGCAATTGCAATAAAGTGCAGGATCTAAGGCAGTCTATATTGTCATATAAGAAATGCCAGGTGATGTTGCATTTTTTACAGATATTTGCTGTTCAGTCAAGATCACTAGTCTAACTTAGGAGTAAATCAGCTTCCACACCAATTATGTGATATTCTTCTTAATTCAGCTGAGTAGGTTCAATACTTATACAAATGGAAACAGTATTCTTTCAAAGATAGACCTACGATTCCCACTGATACAGTATACATTCAGGGGATAGGTATCAATAATCACAATAGGGATAAACTAGGGCGGAGGAAGCCTTATCACAGAACATTTAGTATGATGTAACATTTAAATTTTCTTCATAAAATGCAATAACGAGAATATCGGTCAGAGACCGAAGACTTATCGATCGAAAGTGTTAGGGGAAATCCCAAAACATCGCTCTTACTCCATAGTGACACCTTGTGTCCCATCACTAATTAATTAATAACTCGCTAATTATACGACATAATTCGCCCAAAATCAATAGGCTTTTGGTTCGAGATATGATGAATGCACATGCAAAATCTGGAGCAGATTCAATCTCGCTTTCGTGAGATATCGCGTGCATCTAACAGACATACACACAGACAGACAAATACCTATCAACATACTTACTGATTAAAATAGATAAGTAATAATAGGTTTAAGTACCATGTTGCAAAATTATTTGTCCCATAATTGAATGACCTAGTACCATACGAGTCCCTCCTATTAAAATTACTATCTATATCGATTGCATTATTTGATATATTTTTTCCCATAGTCAAAGATGGAGGAGACATGCAGTGCATTGAATAATGGAAATTGCAAAAATGCGAAACCCGAATTATTGGAATGTTTGAAACAAGCAAATAAGTTACTTTATCACAATCATATTGATATTGGAAAACTTCATGATAAAATTGCTCAATGCTTTGTGTAAGTGATAAGAGATAAGTATGCTTATAAGTTCCTAAACCAATTATTTTTAATGAATTTCTCAATCTTCATTCTCTTATTTACCCCTTCGCTAATTTTAAAAGTAAATTTACCTCAATTTTTTTATATTTTTATCTCTTCTCTGTAATGACTTGGAGGAACGACTTTCAATGTAGAATTGCGGATGTACAGGACGACCCAAAAACAGAACCCATATATTTCTTGATTACTTCTACAAAAATATACAAAATTGATTTAATGCTTGAACCTATGTATGTGCATGATTGTACACAAAGTTTCAGTAATTTAGGTCCTGTCGCACAGTTATTTGTGCATGGTTGTTTGCAGTTATGTTTTGCCTGAAATATGTTTTCCATTAACTGGGTTCTGTTTTAGTGGTATTGTTTCACGCTTCAGTGATTTAATCCGCACAAGTTAATGTATCTGATGTAAACATGTAATAATTGTGTTTGAACACACACATGTTTAAATAGAAGCACGCAGCAATGCTGATTTTAATCTCAAGCCAGGTCAAACTTATTCACAAGGGTAGATTTACCCCCAGCTTAGAGAGAACCCTTGTTCTAATGCATTGTCTTTAGTATAGAATGATGAATTTACCTTAAGTATATAGACATTTTCAATCATGGAATGTGTCAAATTCGGAACTCTCTTTTTATATATTTCAGAATGGAAGGAAACTATACATCTGCATTGCCCCATTTAACCAAGAGCATAGCCATTATTGGAATGCTTCATGGCACACGAAGCATTGAAATGGCACACGAATTACAGAAGCTGGCATCCCTGTATTTTAATATGGGGAATATAAATCATGCTGTTACGAATGCTAAGAAAGTTATTTCAATATATAAGATCTGTTGTCCGGGAACAGAGACCATGCAACCGGGATTTGAAGATATGGTGCAAATTGTAAAAACATTAGAAAAATGATATTTTTATGAGAATATTTTTAATGAAATGTATTAAATCTTCGCGCTTATCATTCCTCAATTCCAAATAAGTCCCGAATAGACAGCCACTGATAGTCAACGGAAAGAGAAGAGGAGCACATTTTCGGTTTGGCATAGCATACCTGATTTGCCCAGTGAAGTGATGAACATGGGATTTGTACCTGTGTAACCTGTGAAGGGCTGCGATGCCAAGTCCAACACTTCAACTGCCATCTCATGGTTAGCACTACCTATACCCGGCTTGAACTGGTATATGTAAAAGAGGATGTGGTCTGCTATATGATTGAGCTGCTGCTTCAATGTAAAAATGTTTTGAAAAAAGTGAATTGAAGAATATTTCATTTGTTTTTTGAGTCCAGACATTTTAGTGGTTGAAATAATATTTCTTTCGAACATGAGCCAGTGTATGTTTCATATTTACCTGTACCTATTCATCCATTTGGAAATGGCAGTCTATATGGTCAGCCCTTTTAACAATAATCTGTCTATGGATGCATCTGTTTCAAATTCTAATCACATCTTATCATGTGGACAGGTATTAGTGAAATCGTTTCGAATGTATACATACTTGAATACGGGTGGTTTATATGACCACGGACTGCACAGAGACAGAGAAATTTTGTGGTATGTCTATGTGCAATTGGTGAAATATTACTGATATAATTTTATTTTTAGATTTATATTTAATAATAAAACTATATAAACAATAATGTCCAAAAGTAGAGGATTATTTCAACAATGCTATCAAATGTTTCAAAAATCTTCACTTTCAAAAGGATGTATTACAACTTCAATATCTTCTCAAATTCATGTTCGAATGAAGACAAATGATTCATCATCAAAGGATATTGTTATAGAGAAAGAAAAGAAGCATCGATCATACACACATCCTGGATTACAATGGGATAACGTCGCTGTCAAATTAGCTGAAATAAGACAAGTAATGGAAGAAGGCGTAAAATCTAACAGAGAAAGTAGAGGCAGGTCAAAATATTTTAGAGACGATGAAATTTTATATTATTTTCGAGAAAGAGATGACTTAGAACACTGGTATACGGTAACTGACAAAGAACTCGGGGGTAAAAGTTGGGCAGAATTCGTCCAAGGTGACAACGGAATGACTGCAGCTTTTCGAGGATACATCAGTCAAAAATTACCCAAAGTTATGATGCCCTCTGCCCACGATAAACTTGAAATGAAACAAAACTACAGAGGATTTGCACTACTGGAGACAAAACCTTTTGTGGTATGTATGGAATTGAGTTAAGTCTACTTTCACCTAGCAGTAAATAAACTAAACCTAAAAACTCAATCGTTTGATAAGCTTTTATCAGGACTATTGGAGCAATATACAAATATGCCTCATATGAAACTGTTATAGGACAATGCAGTAATTAAGTCTTTTTTTATACAGCATATTTATGCACCGTCTGGCTCCAAACGAAGTCCTGAACAAGGTTTTGCACGAGCAGCCATTTCTGGGCTATGAGCAAAAATATATAAAAGCCTTATTGGTTTATGAGTCAATTTATATAAATTCTTTCTTTTCTCCAATTCCACCTGATAAATAATTTGTGGGAAGTTATATCTAACATTCGATCAGAATGTGTAGATGGGTGCGATAGACTTAACCATGATGACACCGCAGGATTAAATCACAAGCCAGTAGCCACCCACCTCATCCAGGGCGTAATATATTGGGTTAGTAGTGCCAAACCGGAATGATTTTGGTCCTTTCTTAACAGTCGATACCAGAGCCTCACTCAAAGCAAAATTTGTATGCAACATGATATACCTACCGGTACCCATCACAAATATGACTAGTTAATAGCTTTATTCTGTTTCTTGCTTCAGAACGTTTCGGGATTGCCTGATTTTCTGAATATTTCAACTTTTAATTGTTTTGAAATTCGACTTCGTGGCGATGGAAGAAGATATTTGTTTGAAATAAACTGTGAAGGTCCATATATGGGTTTTGATGTTATCTATCTAACACCTATACATACAAGAGGAGGGCCTGAGTGGCAGACAATTAAGGTGTGTTTTTCTATTTCCCAATCCTATCTTTGTAGTGTGGGTAAATTTAAGGAAATCCAAGCATGATGTGATAGAAGATAGAACTCTTTGGAGTTTCAGACATTCAATGACGACAATAAAAAGTCAAAATTTTCTACAGAAACTCAAAGATGATATATTGTTCTGTCATCTATTTAAGTTAGTTTTTTGTATCAAAATTTGATTTTCTTAGAGTTTGGACTATTTCCCCGAATCTACAGCCATGATATACAATATAATAAAAGAATAATATTATTGTTTCAGTTACCCTATGGAAAATTTATTGCATCAAAGAGCAGTATGTATCTTATGCAACAAAGTCCTTTGTCACAAAATAATGTGAGTATATGACCATATATAGCTAATTACTTTTAGATCATGTAGTAATACTCTCAAGCAAGCAACTCTGTAACAGAAAATGTGATATATTGAATATTTTTCTAATTGGTTGACGATTATCAGAAAACATGTATGTTCAATGAATGTGAATTCAGAAATGCAGTGAAAAAATGGAAAGTTGAGATGAACAGAAGTGATTAGTTATAACGTGATCAACAAAAACCTAAATGTCATTGATATGGATTCTATTCTGCGAAGCAGAAAAAACAAGTGGATTATTCGTTTCTATAATGGATATCTTCGTGCAGTGCTGTTATATTTACACATTTGAATTGTTGGACACAAAGTGGACCTATAGATCGTTATAGCGGTTTCGATTTTACTACGAACTCAATGTGAATATAGGAGGGTTTTTGAGAAGGGTAGGCAACCAGTCTAGTGTAGTGTACTATTGCATGTCGTTCCTGACTTCGTCATCCAAAAATTATATCACTGTGACATGACAATATACTAGACTAGAAGTACTTATGGTACTGAACTAGACCCACAGGTCCAGTAGGCGTCCAGCTTTTTTCAGGACATGGTTTTGGGAAATTTGTAGGAAAATTTTTCGTCTTCGAGTCTGAATATTTGAGCATGCTTTATTATTTTATGCTATTATTCAAAAAATCTCTCATCTTTTTCAGGTATCAAGTTTCAGATTTTTACTCCTGGATGACATTCAAGGTCCTTTTCAGTTGGAGATAGATTATATTGCAATGAAAAGAGACTCTACAGAAATATCATCTGATATGATTTCTGAATACCACGATCCTTTTACAGGGACTAACAAAAGTGTAGGAACTTGGTAGCTTTGTATTATTTGGCCATCTCTTTAACATAATTTGTTTTATAAGTGAATAAATTTTGAATATCCTTCAAAGATCATTATTGGTTATTTCTATCTGGCTTTAATATTAAGGCTGATTTTTAGTGCAAGGTTTTATGAATAGTATCCTGGTTGCTGTCCAGATAACATAGCCTTTATGGCAGGCGGTGATAACTGTTTGATACGAATGAATTGATCGAAGCGTGCACGCACTTGCTGCTTTAATGAAATAGTCGGTTGGTATACCTCACTATTGGGTGTTTTTGTGCAGACCTGTTGGCAAAAATTCTGATAATATAATCAAATTTGCTGATTGGCTCTCTAGTGAAAAACCTGGACAATTCAAGTTGGATACCTATCGTTTGGGGTGACCCAAACTCCCGGTTTCAAAAAAGTTTGGCTTTAGTCTACGGGTGAATATACTTTGGTTCGTATTTTTATGTGAAGAGTTTGAAAATTAGACTTCTATAACCGCATAAAATCTCAAAGCTAACTCCACTGCCTGATTCAGGTGATGAAACTTTCCTGTTTTTTCGGCTGTACAATAAGTAAACCATGATAGATATCACACTATGTATGCAACATACAATTAATATTTGTGATTTTGGATGCTGAAAGAATCTGTGTGAAGCAACGGTGTCAAATAAAAAAACTGCAGTCATCAAGAGATTAATTTCATTCATGACATGGAACAATTTACGTACAGCAACTGCTTCCCCCAGAGTAGCAGAGAGAATACAGTGTGCTTATTGTCAAATTGGGCAACTATTTTTTATTATGCAACCTTATTGGCTAATGGGGTGGTATCTCCGGCTTCAAAAGATTACAAATCTTCTAGTCACCATATAGCTTGTAGCTATTTTTAATTTAATCTACTTCGGCTGCTCCCTACATCTTGCAAAATGTACCTACTGTATATTCTGGTTGAAGGATTTATTAGTTACAATAGTTAGCCATCATTGTTTTATACATACTCCAAGAGACTTGCAGTATATTTTTGTATCACACAAAACTATTTAGTTATACTTTTATTATATCGATTCGCTGAAATATATCAATGAAAATCATACAAATTGCACATTCAAAAGAAAAAATCATAACGCCGTCACAAGATTGCTACATAGTCACGAAAATGAATAACCAACTAATCACGACCAACTTGAAACAACATCATCATACTTTTGAGGATCAATAAATAGCTCATCAATAGAATTGATTGCGATTTCACCACAGTAAGCACACTCTGTTGCGATCAATTCATCCAGCTCAAAAACAATTTCTTGTCTTCGTCTTTTACTGTCTTTAGCTCCACTTTGATCTTGAATGGAACTGGATTGGTTTAAAGCATTTAATTCCTAAAAAGAGGTCTTATTGGTTATGTATTTCAGCTTGAGCAACTCAATAAAAATGAAAGGTTCTTTCAACTTGAATGCAATATTTGTCCATATCTCATACTTGACTGTAATTAATGATGTTATCCAAAGCATTGACTGCCTATCACAAAGGTAATGTAACAATCAAAATTTTAGCATACATGGTTTTGAACTTTAGATTGCTTACACCAGGGATTGGCAACCTTTTGTCGCTAGCGGGCCACAATTAAGGGTTGCAAGTCATTGGCGGGCAGCACATATTTTTTAGAAAGTTGAAAACCAAACGGACGAATCTTTTTAAAATAAAAATTAAGCAGTGATACATCTCTGAATAGAATATAGGTTTATTTCCTCATTGCATCTTAAAAAATTCCATTTGAATATTTTTGGCGCCATTGAACCCTTTGCACTTAGCATTAACTTTAAACGAGTAATTGTGAAATATATACTTGTTAGGTTATAATATGATTTAGTCTACACATGCCTCACAATAAATTCTGTTTCGTGAAGAATATAATAGTCAAAACAGCTGTTTTGTTACTATAATTCAGGAAACGGGCCATAGGTTGCCAACCACTGGCATATACACATGTAATCCAGTTTGTGAGCGTCAACCCGCAAAAAACAGTCTTACGATAGGAATCAATAATTTTGCAATAGGAAAGAAGGGGAACAATCCGTGGAAGCGTCATCATCATGACTATTCGCACACGTGCCGATGGAAATTCTCAAACTGTACTTCTAATACAACATGATATTGATATGGATATTTAAATCTAGGTACATTTGGGAAAAATAATTGCCACAGTTTGAAAATTTTCACATCCCTAATTTGAAGATGTCTACACTTCTTTGAAACACGAAAATGTTGACGATTCACAGATAATCCACTATTTAGGAAAATAACGTCATTGTTTGAGACTTGAAACCCCATTATTTTTAAACATATTGGCCAATTTACAATCCTTCTCATATTCCTGAATCCTGTGCTTGGTTAAACACATGAATGAATCAGATATAAACGACCAAACAATATGTAAAATGAAAAAAAAATTCATCTAATCTTTATTAGTAAACCTGTAAATACAGTGATACACAATTCAAGTAGCGTCAATGAGTCTCATAAGGTCAAAGTTAGATGTTCAATGTTGAGAATAAAAGAACAAGAACAGAAATTTGTGTTATTTTTCTAATATAAAATTAGAAATAAATTTTTCAGACTTCATACATACCCTTTGCATTTCATCAGCACGAACTTGTTTATCAGGAGTTAAATAAGGAGTAACCGTTTTCCATAAGCAGTCACTGTGGAATGAATGTGAACATGGAAATCCATAAAAACCTCTCGATAACAATATTCCATTGCACAAAGCACATTTATCTGAACCTCCAACAACTAAATGATGATTTCTGTAAACATGAGAAGTTTTAATTGAGTGCTATGGTATCTATGGTTGAGTAAATAACATACCCAGGGATGCACCAAATAAAAAGTAAACAGCCCATATTTGCTATAGATTCGATGATGTTTTTATATGATGCACATGTGGTCTTATGCTCCGAAAGGGTCATAGTCACTGATGTCTGAAATTTTTAGACAGAATGGAATCTTTCCGGTTCGGCATTGTTTACCCAATTTAGTAACCGTTGACAAGGGATTTGAATCCTGCAACACAGTTATAGTTAGGTTTAAATTTTCAACATCTAGGCGGCGTTGCCTATGAATATATTATATGGAGATATTTCATGGCAACGACTACCAGAAGACTAGTGACTTGCATTATGTTTAGTTTCTTAGTTCTCACCTTGTTTCTTGAATGTCAGCTCTGATTGCATGAGCACTGTCTGTTGACTCATTCATTTCATCCTGAAACAATCAATACAAAATAATGGAATGATGAACAAACATCATATTATTGAAACTGGGAACTTCTTTAAAACAATCCAGGTCGACCACGTCTTACCCGGGATAGGGAGCCGGAGCCATGACATTTTGCTGGAGCAATACTCAGCGTAAAAGATGGGGCTACCAGAAATTTTAGCAGCCTTCGCTCTAAACTATCTAATTATTTTTCAAATTCATGACTTTTTAATACTTCATAAAATAAAAAAATTCCACCCCTTTTAGTTTTTTAACATCTTAACTTCTAATAATATTGATTATAAAATGTCAATTTAATTTGAAAATTTTTTTTTTACCTTCAATTGTTTAATATGTTTGTTATATTCATCCAGTGATTCACACAATGCATCTTTGAAATGGTCGATTGTTACAAAATCAGGGAAGAATGGCAAAATATCCTCAATTTTCAATAAATCACCGGACTCCTGAAATTGAAAAGAGCATTAAAAGAACATAATGGATCGAGAACAATTTCAAAAAAATTTCCTAAGGAAGCAAATGAAATATATACCATATATTAATAAAAAAGCACTGTTTTCAAAATCGACATTCATTTAAAAAGAAAAAAAGCATATGATGAAAACCTGTAAAAACTGCATTGCACGTTTGATATCTTTTTTCTCTTGTACGACATGTCTCGCGATCAACATCCATAACTTTTTCCGCAATTCTTCATCTTCTTCCTCTAACTCTGGTCGATTTGCGATCGATTTTGCAAGATCAACATCAACCTAAAGAAAATAAAACAGAAATTGTACAAAATAATCAAACAATGATGCGATACAGATCTTTAGTCTAAAATTAAATAGTACTGGGTGTTAACTGTATTTCTGACAACTAGTGTTTTCCCAAATGGCTGAGCATGATCAGTGATGTGATCAGTTACAGCTAAATGATCATGGCCAAGATGAAGATGTTTCGAGTTGGGTGCTCAGTTCTCAGAAAAAACTTTCGTTATGGTTGCAGATTTATTTATCATAAATTGATATTAGATAGCGCTGCGCTCGAAATCACAAAATAACGACATTCAGTCAAATTTTTGTGGGTGCAAAATGCAAATGATTATGAAGATAGTCAAAATAAGTTTACCTTCAGGGCCAATGAAACTGCTTCTTCATACAATGTCATAACATTATATATTTCAACACAAGCTTTCTGTAGTTTAACACCTCCTTCAAGACATAGACGTAATGCATACTTCACATCATAACATACATCTTCTAAATCATCTCCTTGATCTTTGATATAACTGAAATGGTAATGTTTCAAGCTCAATATAATAACTTGATTGTGGCATACTACATATACCTTAATTGTAATACATAGTGACGAGGGAACAATTTAAGGTACTTCTCAAAATATTTTCTGAATTTGATTCATATTGATCATTTTGTTCAAGTTCATCAACTTGTGAATGATGTGTATTGACCTGTCTTCAACCGACTAAAATGACATACATTAAAACCCCTAAAACTAATAAAAATCATCGTAATAATTCTAGCAAACTTACTCAGCCACAGCTTCTGGTTTTTGCTTCACATATAATGATAATAAATAATTATGAATTGCAGGCTCCTTACAATGTAATGTACCAGTACAATGTTCAAGATACCGGATTGCTTCTTGAGGTCGGTCAATCAGAGCACCCTATAATGATAATCACTTTTGTTACAAAATTAGTATTTGTACAAGTTCACAATGCTGGATGTCGAGAGATGCCTGGAGAATTTGGCATACATATATTAGACATTACCCATATTTTGTTTAGATCCTATTTATGAGATTGGAATATTTTTTTTAACCTGATGTGACAACACTATATAAGGTCAGGGAAAAAACAGCCCTATTTGATACATAAAACAATGATGATAAATTGCCTCATTTTATCTTCAATGTTTTGGAGGTTATTGTGTTTTTAAAATAACAACATAAAGACATTCCATTCAGATGAAAAATTTACATCAACACTTAGTTTGCAGTACTAACTCTAAGTGTTTAAATAAATTATGGAAATGAGGTTTTTATTCATTCATAATTTTCATAGTCCCAACACAAAAAAGCATAGTCGTCAATCTTATCTTATTATAGAAATGTCAAAAAAAGTACTGAAAACGAATGATAAAAGCTATAAATGTGCAATTGTGTTGTTACATCATTTTCAGAATTCAAATATCGTAACTTGAAGAGTGATAGCCTGGACATCATAACCCACATTGATAAAATTTATCAAACATTTCATTTATCACTAAAAAATTGTATATATACAATATATTTATTTAAAGGTAAAATCACAATGTACCTGTGTACAGTTGATAAGTGAAGGTATAAGCTTCTTAGGAGAAAGGTTTTTTCCCATTGAAATCCATGCATTCACGGTTACTTCAGGAATATACTGGAATATAAAAAAATTGAAAGTCTATTTCATTGGTTTCCAACCTTTTTTAATAAATTGATCAGATTGCCTATTTTGAAACTCTATATTTCTCTGCCAATATGCATAAAAACTCCTTTCCATTATTAAAGCATAAAAATAAAACAGCGAAATTTTGGGTGAAATATCAGATGTCATAGGCTTCATAGGAAATTTAAGAATAAATAAAAATAACAGCCTTCCAGTGACAACAACAATCTTTCACAACTGAAAATTGAAAGCAATTGGTCCAGTAGGTAATGAGAAAAGTGATTTTCTCAAATCGAGAAGAAGAAAAATATCAAGAACATAATAACAACAACTTACCTGCATTAATATGGGAGAGAATTTGTAGTAAAGATTGATGTTATTTTGTTTTCTCAAAGCTTCAATGGCAGCTGAATAATCTTCATTTTGTATATGATGTGTGATTACTCTTTCATAATCCTGTAAAATACAATATTAGGATCCTTAATTTATAACTACAACTCTTTAGCATAGTTTAGAACAGGAGTGTGAAACAGGTGACCCATGGGTCACAGCCCAGCCCGCCAAGCTATTTTTTTCAGATTTTTCTACATCCAACATAAAATCCCAATCAGACAGTTTATGATTTGAAAGGAGCTCACTTGGGTAGAAACACATTTTTTTTCACTCTTGTGACTGCGTTACATTGTGATAATTTTTTAATTTGTTGTGTACAAGCAAGAAACGAAAATTTGGTGTCGTCCAGCTGAAGTTGGTTATATGGCTCACCGCAAAATTGTTGCACACCCTGGTTCAATTCTACATTTTTTCTAATTAATTTTGGAATATAGGCCTACCAGGTCCGATGTTTGAATTTTGAAATTTTGACAAATTGTTCCAAGGAAATCAAATTCCTTTTATTTAATTACACTGAGGTGTTTCACACATCCCCTCCTTACAAGGCTCTAAACGAGCAGCTAAATAAAGCCTATAATGCTGTATTGTTCTATTCGAATTATCCGCATCTCTGCAATACATTTCTAACCATGCCTAGTTCACACTTGAATCGGGATTGATCAAGCTTGTTTCAGACAACCAGAGAGCGATACTCAAATATATGGACACAAAGTGATACAGGTATTCAATCTGTCACGGTAGCCTACCAGTACCGTATCGCAGCTGAGCAGCAGATTTGAACTTACGCGAAAGCGGAATGTCAATTGGTCCAGGAGTTAATGAGAAAAGCGATTTTTTCACAATAAGAACAAAGGAATACTAACATGATGACTAATAACAACAAGAATGATCCATAGGTCCAATTTATATTGAACTGTTAACTCCCTCTTTGTTGATTTTAAAGAATGTTGTACATATTATTAATAAGCATTATAAGCTCTTTGGTTCAGATTCTATGATAAGATTTCGGTAGTAATATATTATAGCAACATAATTATAGTCATTAGACATCACCTGCATGAGAACAGCGAAAAAGACATAATCTTCAATATTTCCATGACCAATTAAAAGATCATAAACAGTCTTCTTATTTTCCAGAAAAATATCTTTGAGATTTTCCTAAATATAAGAAGTGAAACAATGAAATTATCATCATAATATTCAAAAAAAAAAAATTTTTTTTGAGCATTTTATCCACTTTAAAACTAAAGTGTCAGATATATTTAAATAGGACCTCTAAAGTAAGATAAGATTATTCAGTAAAGCCAATGTACTGAGAACACATAAATATAAGAAAAATGATATTTTTGGCAATTTTTGTCTGGGCGATAACTGGTAACGATACAATCATGGCAACTGGCATAAATATGTTGTAAAATTATATGCATATCTAATATTGTTCACTAATATATGTTATAACATGACTTTCCAAAATGGGGCCGGGTGAGTTGTGATAAAAAGGTTTAAAGAACACTGCGGTGTAAGATACTCAAAATAAAAAATATACTAAAGAACAAATACAAAATGATGGGTCTGACTTGAACGCAATTGACAACACTTTTGCACCCACAATCACAAAGTAATACACACCTGAGCAAGAAATTTTTTAAATACATCTTCACAATGTGTGTAATCTTCACTGTTTTCTTCCTTCAATTTTCCAAGTTGATTCAAGTATAATTCAACAAGCCATGTCACAAGCATAGCAGTTTGAGTCTTCTCGGCAGGCTGAGATTAATATTATAAAAATTAGGACTTGGTAAACGGATTCAATGCTAGATGACGAAACAGTTTTCTTCTATAAATGTATGTAAAATAATAAAAATTTGGAACTTACAAAATGAAATTTTGATATAAATCAAATATGACACTCTAACAATCTGGTGTCATAAAAATATTTAAAGTAACTTAAATTACGGTATTATAAAGAACAAGAAGTTTGAAATTAACAGCAAGGGGGACATATCAAATAGGAAGAAACCATTGCGAGATATATAGGTATTTATGAAGAAAAGATTACAGAATAAAAAAGTATATTTTCGTAAAATTGAATGACATCTGTGACTTTGTCAGCTTAACCAATGGAGGTTTGTTACTTAAAATGATAAGTGTTTATAAAAAGGTATTTTAAACGATTCATAAAATCAAAAATATTTCAAATGCATTCAATTTTCTTCTCATCATGTGCCACCCCTGGGGGCAATGAATTTGATATGAATTTACTAAATATATGGATAAATATACCTTCAAGCTGCTCAATTTTTTGAGCAGAAATGCTCTCAGTGCTTCCTGTTGATCAGCTCGAACAAATTTCAATGAGATTTCTTCAAATGAGTTTCTGGTCATGGCATAATATAATGCACTTTCATTGTATTTACCTTCTTCGAAATAATGTTCTGCTTGTCTGGTGAAAACCTGAAATTTTCAATTATATATATGCAGTTGGGAAAAACAATCATAACATAAAAAACGAGAATATCGGTCAGAGACCGAAGACTTATCGATCAAAAGTTAGGGGAACCCCCAAAACAGCGCTCTTACTACATAGTGACACCTTGTGTCCCATCACTAATTAATTAATAACTCGCTAATTATACGACATAATTCATCCAAAATCAATAGGCTTCTGGTCCGACATATGATGAATGCACATGCAAAATCTGGAGCAGATTCATTCTCGCTTTCGTGAGATATCGCGTGCATCAAACAGACAGACATACAGACAGACAGTCAAATACCTATCAACATACTTACCGATTAAAATCGATAAGTAATAAGGGAGCTCAAATATATAGACACAAAGGTTATCTTAAGGCACTGAAAACTTGAAATCGCAACACCAATAACAACAAGAATTTAGCATAACGAACCATATGTACGTACAATTTGTATTCAAAATTACAATAATACAAACAAGGTGATAAATATTATGATTCCAGAGCAAAACGAGTCTTTAGAAAATTTTGAAATCGTCCAAATACAATCTTACCTTATCCAGATTAGCAGGGTTATCTTTACAATAATCTCGAGCCATATCAAATTTCTTGTCATCAAGAAACATTTGCCAGACATTCCTAGATTCATTGAAAACCTATAAAAACAAACGAAAATTTCAAATAGACAAGCAAAAAAATAGATTATTAAATATACTATTGGAAAATTTAGATAGGATTTTCATGTTTATCCTGGGGGAGAGGTAGGTCGAGAAGACAACTTAATCGTATGATAAAGCATGTCCTTGTGTCAGGTCACCAGTTCATAGTTCAGTAGGGTATGAGAACGATCAAGCAGTCAATTGCTTCTTATGCATAGATTTGATAGTATGAGAACATAGTTCAAATATATGATGATATAAGAAATTTGAGAAAACAATATTTTTTCAAATCTCATATGACAATTTATGGTTATGATCCAAAAATAGGATAAAAAAGTGCTTAGATTACTTTTTTAATTTATTCAATCCATTTTTCAGCTTCAAACTTGAATAATCCAAGTGTGTTCATTTGGTAATGATAAAATTTAGGCCTATACTATGATCTTTTTTTGAGCAAGGCAAATTTAGGAAACAGAGATGCAGATCATGGTGTATCAATACTGAATTTAAGTGATTTAACTATTGCATGAATATTGTAAATAACATATCATGATGAAATATAGCTGAATTACCTTATATTTATAAACTGCACGATCTGTGAAAGTCCATATAGTTCCCTTCTTTTCATCTTTGATCAAACCTAGTATTGATCCAAACCTTCAACAAATGAACAATAAAACTGTATTGCATAAGGTTTGAAATAGGGGTGATTGAAGGAAATATGAAATAAATAATATAACCAGAGAAGCTTCTATTTATTAATTCCAATAGTAATTGTTATTCTTAATTTTAAAACAAAATTTTATCTGCGGTTTGATCCATAAATTTCCTAATTTTTCCAGGAAAATGAAAAAAAAATATTCAATTTTGTTTGCACTTGCTAAAAAAAACTTAACTTTTGTGTAAAATGTTCCAGATTTTTGAAACTTTTGGCTATAATCGTACACAACATGGAAAAAAATTAAAAAATTTACTCCATTTTCGTAGAACTAATTGGGAAATTTGTGTGTTCTTTTTTGAGTCACCATGTATTTTTTCTAATTTCATACACATGTATTCAGAGGTAGTTTTTATCATTGTTTTTATCATCACTTCCCATACATTGTATAATCATACCTTGAAGAATAGATATCTTCATAAACAACTTGTTCATTCAACGTACATATTGCCTTAACACGATCAGAATATAGGACGAGAAGATGAAACTCAGTCAATGCTATTCCTAATACTTCTTCGGCTGGGTCAGTGTGAGGTGCAAATGGATTGCTACTGTCAGATTCTAAAAATAAAGACAAACAAAAGAGCAAAGCTAAAATATATGGATTCAAACATCAATATCAGGACGGTGAGGCCTGGAAGAATCTGCTTCTCTACAAATATTGGCACTAAGCAGACAAGCAAAATTATGGTAGTCATGAAATGTGGAATAAAAGGAGTTTCATTTATTTGAAAAATAACTGCAAGATTTTTGACAAAACTTTAGGACTCAAAAAAAATCTGTCCCAGGGACTTCCATCTTTGCCATGAAAAATAAAAATTAAATGGTCGATTAGTTGCAAAAAAAATTTATTTCCATCAACAATTCAGAAAGACTATTCGGACCTCCTGAAGTATGCGCACCAAGATGGCGCACAACCTGAACTCAAGTTGTGTAACAGGTTAGGGTTCAGGTTATGCGACATCTTGGTGCGCATACTTCAGGAGTACCGACTATTCATATATACACTTCGTGCTTAAACAATAATCATCCTAAATTAGAATGGTGACTTGTGAGGGTGAAATATTGTATAATTTATTTTAAACACAGATGGACAAAGAATTTGACATCTGGTACTAAAATCCGAACAAGATAATTTTTTAATTTCTGAAAATATATAAAATAGTATATGGTTGGGTCAAAAAGGTTTTGAAAATAATTTGTGTGCATAATTACACTTTTACCCAATCTGTATAACTTGACAAAATTATTATCTGTGTCTGTTATATAAAAGGATAAGCTAGAATTCTCCTATTTATCTCAAAGGAGAGAAAATTCGAGAAAATGGCTTAATCATATGACAACCCACGACATCTCGTCCGGTCACCAGTGCATATCAGATAAAGAAACAATTGACCAGTTATTTGTTTCGGATGCATGGTGATTACTGATGACAAAGGAAGCCCAAAGCGATTAGCAGTTACGCGAACCAACCTACGATAGCAAGGAGTCCAGCAATTCAAATGCTAATACCTGCAAGATAACCGGGTGTGATGGTGTTCCTACCGAACCACATTTGTGAAAAATTTTACAAAGAACATTTTATTATATCTGCATACTTTACCTTTATCAGGGTAAGAAATCAATCTTGCATTTGCGACAATGGATAAATGATGAAGTGATGTAGAATCTTCAACAGCAGGAACAGTTATGTCACCAAAATATACACCAGGTGATGCCATCCATGCAAACTGAGTAGGAATAGCTAAAGAAACCAAACAATATGAAACATATAGCAACAATGCAAAAATAAGTAGATTCATTAAATATGATTATATGACTAATCAAAAATTAACCTGGGTTCGCAGGTTTGAATCCTGCTGGAATGAATCCTCCTCACCTCGCTGTCACATAACCGATGTACAGGTACAGCTTCCTTCACCATCAAGTCCATGCATATGAAACAAATAGCTGTCTGAATAACCCCATACCTGACATGGACTGGTAACCGACCAAGAGGCTGTGGTACGAAATATGATTAACCATCTTATCGTCTTTTCTCTCCTTGGGATAAGTATGGAATTCCTAACTCGAATATGAAAAATTACTTACATGTTCTAGATTTTGTTTTATAAAATAATGCAAGTTGACTCCATCCACCACCACCAGGGAGATCAGTGAATCTTGGTGGTCCATTGTCATACGGTGTGAATATATTCTAAAAAAAAGTTGATCAAATCAAATTGTAATTGAGTGAAAATCGAAGAGGTTGCCTTATTTATATTTTAGAATTATTGTGATTATGGTAATGGGTATATAGAAAAAAATTATGTAGCTGGATATTTCGATATAAAGAAATCTAATTAATTATCAATAACATTTTTTTTAAAGAATCTTACTTGAAATACAGGAATTTCTCCACTGTTTGGATTAATTCTTCCAACAAATTGATAAAGTCTTGTACGAGTTGTAGCAAGAATGTGATATTTGGTCGGACGATCTCCACCTCTGGCAGGAAATGGATTGAATTCGAGTCCAGTGATTGAACAATCTAAAAACGATAAATATCATGAATAACATAATGTTTTCCAGTGTAGATAGTAATCGTCCCCTGGAAATAATTTCACCGTCTTAAGAAAAGAAAATTGTGCTTTGTATGTGCAATGCCAATGTGCATTTAATATTACAATACTCTTTATTTATTTAGTAGGGCTATTACTGTAATACACTTTTAGGCACAAATTGAATTATTCATATGATCACGAACCGTAAATCAAGCTTGCATACGCCCATGTTTAGTTATCACAATTGTATTTTTCCATAGTTGGGAGTTGAAGTCAGAGACTAAATTTTTCATAATATTATCCGGCATAGGGCTTTCCGAAAGGCCTTTATATCTGGATTTCCTATACTTGTCATTCTTGAAAAATACATAAAAAATTTGTAGTTGACAAAAAGATTTATTTTCAATATTTGAGCAGATTGGAAAAGTAGCCTATTTATGTGTTGTAGAAATGAAGTATGTAAATAACATTTGATGAACCAGTCGAAGCTGAAAAAAGTTTTTTTACTACATGGGAATTATTGCAGAAATGACCCCAAAAGAGTCTTCCAGAAGGCCCCAGGAGTCGAATTATCATTAACATGAGTCCGGACAAAGCCAACATTTTTTTTAACCAGAGGTCGACAACTCCAGAGCCTTGATTTGTGGACAAACACTATAGGTAAAGTTACCTCTGGAATCTCCTTTTCCCAAACAAAATAACTGCTTCAAATATTGATCCACACTTCCTCCAAAAAACTTTGTATCTTCCCCAGACTCTATACAGCATTCCATTATTGATCCCCTACTGGTGCCCACCAGTAGAGGACCAGTAGTTCCAGTATTGCTAGCCTCCATAATATGCTGCCTATTCCAACCAATACTTTCAATTCTGTGACCTAAATGAAGAAAAACTTGGTATTACACAATTAGCTCTGTCTTGGTACTTAAATAAATATTACAGGATACTAATAACAAAATAACTTATTCCAAGTGATTCAAGAGTTTTGTATCACTTAGAGCAGCTTAAATTGCATGCGAGCAGATCCATCAATGCAAACGCACAGAAAAAAGGATAAGTAGTTTGTCCCATCGATACCCGAACCATAAATTCAGATATATGTCAAAGTTGTCACTTGTCAAAGTCATTAAATTCTCTAAGATTAAATTTATCATCTAGTATAGGGTTGCCATACCGTCCAGTAAATTCCGGACATGTCCAGAATTTAGGATTAAATTTTGCGTCCGGGAGGAATTTGAAAAAATGCTCAAATGTCCAGAATTTTACTGCAGCTGCAATTGTACTGTGCACACTGCGCATACAGAACATTGTTATTTCGTACCGTGCACATATTTTTTACTACGAGGTTGTATGGAAATATAATGAGTATAAGTTTATTTCGACTTATTATGATGTAACAGAGCGTTTTCCTTATTAATGATGTTTATCACTTAGAACTTTCTTAAACTTATTGACCGTTGTGCTGAATCCGAATTGGTTAAATGCTGCGAAAATTACTAGAACATTCCAACAGTCCATGAAGGCAGGCGATTTAGAGATTTACTCAAAATGTCATAGAGATACCAAGTTGGAAGGATGTAGAGCAGGGGTTCTCAATCTTTTTTATGTTAAGTACCCCCCGAGTCACGAAACAACCAACGCGAACCTCCAGTAATCAGAAACAAACAAAGTTGTGATATATTGACTGACAATTTGTTGCAACGACAATTTATTGATCAACTAGTGTAACTAAATTAAATATTCGTGTTGATGTTATTTTCCCTGTCATCTACCTAACTAATGAATTCTTGGGATCTCTCTCAAGTTTCGATGCATATCACTTTCTGCAATGCTCACATTGTCCTTTGAGATTTCACAGTTTGGTTGTAAAGCTGTGAAATTCACATTGTTGCGTCACAATCACAACAATGCTAGATCAGGGAAAATCTACGCTGAGTTTCAATTGACATGCATTTTCATCTTGTAGTTATTTAGTTTTCCTTTGTTTAAGTATATTGAAAATAAAAAACACACACAAAAACTCGACTGCCATCCAAGTACCCCTGGAAATCTTCTCGTGAACCCCTGGGGGTTCGCGGAACCCAGGTTGAGAACCCCCTAAAGCTTTGCCTGGAATATCGGATTAGTAAGGGGGTTGTTGTGGACGATGCAAAGTGCTTTGATCATATCTGTAACTTGAAGCAGTTTGTGGAAAGTTACTTACAGGAGGAGAATTTATTAAACTGCCAACGCATAAGACATGGTGCAAATTTTTCGATCAGTCTATGAACATCACATGCCACTCAGAAATTTCGATTATACAGTTTTTCTTTGCTGTTACATCCCACAATGCCAATGTAGAGAGGGTCTTTTCACTGATGCAAAGTCAGTGGACTGAAGAGAGAAACAAGTTGAGCGTTGCAACTATGAAATTGACTCTTCAATATAATTTCAAAGATATGCGCTGTAGTGAATTGCCACGCTTGTAAATCTGTCTGAGTGAGAAAAGTATCTGAGCGGATGCGAAAAGGGAGCATTGTTACGTAACTTTTTGCATCTTGCTGATTGGCCAATGTCACGAAGTAAACAAGGAAGTCAATGCTCGGGGAAAGGTCCATTGAAGAGACTTAGATCTTCAGAAAATTATGCATGGAAAATTATGTGAAGAGTAAATTTGTAGTGACTTGACGTACAAGCGTGTCTTTAATTTGTTTTTTTAGCATGTAATTGCTGTTCTTCCCTTTCGGCACAATCTAATTCTCATTATTATTTTTTACTCTTAAGTTGAGATTTTTTTCAGTGGCGGTCCGTAGCAATATTTAGAGAGTGCTTAGCAGTCTGGTGAGAGATTCTGAGATTGTGACTGAAGACAATACTCTTCATTTCGGTAGCTGGCGCTTTAGCATGAGTATCGTACAACATTAGCATGAGTCTCGTACAACGTTTGCAGCCTTAGCATTTCGGTAGTGCATATTTATATGGTCTCATGAAAATAGTCATGCACTGTCTGCAATTTTGCTTTTTCTAATATGGTAACCCTAATCTAGTAGCTTATTAACCCAAATAAATTAAAAACTTTACGAAAATTCCGCAAATTAGACTTGTCTAGTAGAGAAATTTCTACATTTTAATCATAAATATTGGTAGGCCTATATTATAATTAATGGTACTAATATATAAGAAATATTCACACAAAAATTGGTGGGAACCTATCAACATGGGTAAGTAAGGATATTATCAAACACATAAACATAATGATTTTACACCTTTAAATTTTGACAAAGATTTAGGTTTTTTCGATGTCTTGGAAAAGAAAACTGTATCCTGTGATGTCATTTCAATCAACAAATGTGATCCTGTTTGATCCAGAAATAACTTGTATACTTTGTCATCGCCTCTGGTGATTTCAACCTAAAGATATAAAAATTTATGAAGTCAAAATTACATGATACACAAATTTCATGGTTGTGATTAGGTATATTTGAATATCAAAAATGCAAATTACATTCACATATTCCATTCCGGCTTGGGTTAACGTGAACCAACATGGCCATACAGTGATGGTGGGGCACAGAGTAAAAATTTTGTATTGCCCAAAGTCGAGACTCAAAATGGAAGTTCAGATTGACACTGCAGAGCTAATAGCAACATTTTTGTGGACAATATTTTGTCAGAGAGTCAACAACTAGCTGGAGCTGGTTCTTTAAGTTGGATAAAAGTATTACCGCCAAAATTTGAATTCCTCTTTTCCATAATCTTGTTTTTGTAGAAAAAGTTATTCGTAGAAAGCCAGGTTTTAGATATAGCGATAGCGGACTAGAAGTCATTAGGTATATCAGAGTTGCACTTCCCAAAAAAAGTTACACATCAGAAAATCTTACTTCTTCCTGATCTTCAGGTTTCTCAAGATTGATCCGAAGTAAAATTCTTCCTGACATGATCATACATAATCTGTTGTTGCTGATTTCAAGATGCGTGATAGGTCCTTGGGGTTTGAAATTTATCTGAAAACACATGAATATTATCTATACTGAATCCATTTAAAAGTAAGCTCAAAGTTTGAACACTGAAATGATAGAATTACCAACTATTCTTAGCGAAACACCAATCAAAAAAGTTCAATACTATTTGATGAAATAAACTTGGATGAACAAAACAGTGTTGGGTAGAAGTCTCTGGATTCACGAGTCTCGAGACAAGTAAGGTCTCAGATGTTTAGAGTCTAGTTAATCACTGAGATAGGTTTCATTGGTATTTAGTTCATGACAAGTCCGAGTCATTCTATTCGTCACTTTGAGTACTTGATGCATAGTGATTCGAGTCAACAACTCGAGCCTCGTCGATACTGGGACATAATAGCATAGTTGTGTAGAATTCCCTAAACCCTGAGACTTAAGTCAAATCATCCCAAGTCTTGATTGAGTCATGTAAATCACTGACTTATAAAATCTCACTAAGATCTAGTTGAAGACAAGTCCAAAGTTATTCCATTTTGATGACCGAGAAACTTCTCCAATAAGTGTCGAGTCAGCTTCCCCAACAACAACCCTTAACTAAGAAGAAGGCAAACTAATTTTTCAAGTTAAACTTATCCTACAAACCTTGCTCTTTGTGAATATTGGTGTCTCATCTGCAACTCTTGCATTGACATATCCACTAGCAACCGGTTCTGGCCTTCTGCTCCTGTTTGAAGCCTCAAATGGGTTTGTTGATTCATTATGTGAAATAGTTGCCTCATATTGATTGAATATAGAAGCCATTACAATAAGAATGATGTTGAATGTAGGAATTTAATTCAAGTATATTACATTTCTATTAGAAATGAACTATTAAATTTGATACTAGAAATAGAACATAAATATTAAAGAATTATCAGACACATGCTAGGATTGATGTACTTATGAAGTTATGACAAGAGATACCTTGCCACGACTAGAAAGGGCTGAAATCCTTCCAGTTCGGCATTGCCAAATATATTACACTCTGGGTGGGATAAGTCGAATGCTTCAAACACAATGCAACCGGGCTACATATGTAAAGGAAACATATGGAAAACAAAATCAAATTTTTACTCAGAAACTTTTAGGAACGGTTGTAAACTTGTAAACATTATCTCGTATTCATGGCAAAATTTAAATGTAACTCAGTTCTGGGGGAGCTACGATGGACTGGCTAAAATTAGCTGGTGGTAAATTTAAATGGCAGGTGGATGAATACTTCGCACTAAAATGATGGTTTTGAAATACGTAAGCCGGTTTCGACAACAAACAAAAACAATTTTAAGGGTAAGGGTCACTGAAAAAAAAATGAAACCATAAATTCCCTAATTACTTATTTGAAAATGCTTCAGCAAGTAAGTGAGTTACAATTTCCCGCAATGTATACAAGTCTGTCTCCTACAGCGAGGAGGTCATTTGGTACATATTCTAGAGAGGACAAAACCTTTGCGCAAAATGTCCTAGTTTCCTAAAACATAAATGCAGTGCTACATTAATACATTCATGCAAAAACAGTTTGAGGGTAGACAAAATTGAATAATTCATTCCATTTCCGTAGAAGTAATTGAGAAACCTCAAATCTTCGCGAATCACTGACATTTCTGACTCAGCAAATAAAATATGGTAAGTAAAGTATATAAACAAGAATGGATGATTGTGCACACTGGACATACTTGAACAAAAAAATTCTCGTTCTTTTCTCCTAATACAGTGTTACATAAATTCAGCAAAAACCTATTCTAGTTTTATTAAAAAGATTTTAAACCAGGAAAACTATAATATCGCCACAGTAAACACAAAGTAACCTATATTTTAGTGATTGACAATTTTTAATTGTATGTCATTATGGACCAGGGAAAATCGTTTGGTCTGGATTTCAAAGATATACCTGTTTCAGCTCTCATTCCAGGTATTGCATTTTAGGTTAGGCTGTACAGATCTGAAAATTACAAAAATGCGATTTTCTCAGAAGCTTGTGACATAGCTAATTCGGTTATACTACAGCAATACATATGCTGAAGGTATCTTATGACAACAGGTAAACAGAAGTATTTTGAATGTTTCGTACTTTGATGTTCGTTAATCAGAATCTACATCCATTTTCGGGGTTTCATGATGTCTATATTCAGGTTTCAATTCCCACATATTTTTATGTGGATTTTTTAGATTATAATGTCCAATCTCTCGCAATATCTCTTTAAGAAAAGTTATCGGTTGTTTTGTTATTTTTCCTAAATCTTGAATACTGTAGAATTGATGTTTTTCAAATGCTTCGAAAAGCTTTGCCATGACTTGTTCTTTTGAACCTCTGATACGCTTTCCTTCTGCTTTTTGCCGTTTATCGTTAGCTATTTCTTCTTGTATTCTTGATACCGGCTTATAGACACTTCTTACTGCAGTGTCAAGCTGTTTTACAGTTCTGGTTGGTTTTGTAGCAACTACAAATTGAGTCATTTTGAGTTTCATATACTTTTGACCACCTTGTGGCATACAATCAGCTTTTTGAACTATTCGTCCCTCAATAGCTCGTTTTTCGCTCCCTCCTGGGCCTACACCAGGTATTTGTGAGAACACAGCTAAGCTCTGGTTCCCCATGCCTTGCAAAGAGAACTTGTGTTCTGTAGGAACAGAATCTTTACTTGTAGGATGTTCTTTTGCCAATGATTCATCAAGATTGAATGAAACTTGAGTTCTTCCCATTGTTTTTCCAATGCGTAATTTTCCAACTGGTTGACCTCCAGGGGCCTCTTTCCATATAGTAGCTAAATACTTTGGAACTTTGACCAACCATACAGAATGCTTTGCTCCTGTACAATCCAACTCCGCATTGTCTTCCTCTTTGTCAGCCATTTCGAATAATGTGCAAATAGTAGCAAGGGTTAATTATATGTTCACAATCAAAAACCTAAAAATGTAGTAAAAAAGTAGGTTACTAAAGTACAAACATACCTTGTACTAGAAATGCAGTCAATAAATCAATAACAACAAAATGAAGTTTCAATGACATTTAGGATAGCACAGTATATACATAAAAATATTTTTCAAAAAAATCTGAATTTTTGTTTGCTTATGGAGAAACGATTGCTCAACAACAAATGCATAACTACTTGAAAAATTAGGGTTGAGATAATGTGAAACCAAGTGTCAAGTGACAAATTAATAAAGATCAATAGATATTTATTACTATATTAATCATTGAACAAATTTTCGAAAAATAGTCATACAAAACAATGGAAATATTGGATCTCAGAGTTATTATTATCATTAATTAATGTAACTTTTAAAGATTAATGAAAGCATAAAATGCTTGATAGATATAAAACAAGATCTTTTGGAAATAATAATGACTGAGATTGATGAAATATCAGACAGCAACAGTTAGCTATATTAGATTATCCATAATCCATATTATCATACACTCCTTATTGTATTTCATTAATATAATAAATTGAAACAATATAAGAACTTGCAAGAAATAGAAAAAAGTAAAATTAATATGAAAAACTGACAGTTCATTAACAAGTGCAAAATTCTGATTTAAAGAATAATACAAATCGGTTAATTTGATATTCGAACTACCAAAAATGTATTTGAAATTGCAACATTTCTAATATCGAAGAAAAACTACATGCAGAAACCTAATCTAAACCCTATCTGATACCAGGGATGGCCAATATCGAATAGTTCACTATTTCGAATACATTCGAAATTATTTTTTTCGAATATGAAATTTCGAATACTTCGAAAATAAAATCCACTAATTGAAGCTTATCTAAATGTATGTAGGAATTTCCCTACAATAAGCAATGAGATAACTGCTATCTACAAGTTAAAACCTAGCTATATTACCAGGCATTTCATATTTGCAGATTATTGCAGTATAATACCATGAGTCATGTTAACACTTAACAGAGTTAAATTAATACGGCAATAGTGGTATCGATGATGGATTTGAATATTTGCGCAACACAAAATCATCCTAGTAAAACGCCCATACTTTTAAATACCAACCATTGTTCAAATTATTTGCCAAAAAGCGGGATAAAGTATGAGTTATTTTTCCACTCATGACAATTTTTTCGTGAGTACAAAAATACGAATCAAAAATTACGGTAATTATATTCGGGAACTTTACCACACATTTTATGTCCGCAGATCGCCGTTGTATGTTTGATTGTTTGAGTAATAATACTTTTATTATTTTATAAATATGAAAATAGGAATCAAAAACTATTTATAATCGGGTAGTTTACCACACATTCTAAGTCCACAGATCGCCGTTTTATTTTGTAGATACGAAAATAGGAATCAAAAATTAATATTAATCGCGAGTTTGCCACACAATTTATGTCTACAGATTGTCGATACAACCATGAGTTACGTTGAACAAAATTAAATTAATACGGCATGACATCTTAAATGCTGGTACTAGTCATGGATTGGATTATTTTGCGCAACAAAATATCATCCTGGTAAAGGATCGATACTTTTAACCATCGTTATCAAAATTATTTGCCAGAAATTATTTGCCGGCTATAAATACCGTATTTCCCGGCTAATAAGTCCACATGGCAAATAGGACGATGTCTATTTTTAGCACACAAAAAGGGGGTTTTCATATAGGCCTCCAATAATACGGGTAGAAAAATTGTATCCCTGTTGTTCAGTTATGCTGATACGCGCTAATAATTTTATATGTTTAGAACCAGATCATGTTAGTTTGGTAGAATCATACTCACAGAATTAACTATTTTTAACAATTGAGCGGTAAATTTAAGTTGTAAAGCGGCAATCATTTTGGACAACCTATTAACCCGAATGTTGAAATAATTTTGGAATGTGATGATAAGTACTACCCTGTACGTGCACGGGTTATTTCGCAGCAGTGTTTTCCTGTCCCTGTCGTGTTCTGCTGAATCGGCAAAACGGAAGGGTCGTAAATCACTTTATCTCGGTGGCCGTGTTTCTTTTTAAAGTAACGATAACCGACCTGCGATTAAATATCATGATTGATATAATAATAAGCAGGCCACATAGAAATAAAATTAACATACTTCCTCAAATGTGCAAATGTGTCGCAACACTATGCGACGTACGGTCGCACAGAATATAAACAAACAAAGTGCCGATTGTATTTCATCGTCATTACAATACGTGAGACAGCGTAAAAAGTCGTTTGAAGATTCCCGTAAAACGAAACACCACGTTTACGGCGAAAAGTGTCTACTATTCGGAATTATTCGAAAATCAGCCGAAAAGGTATTCGAATACTTTGATATTCGAATACATTCGAATATTCGATTCGTTTTGGACAACCCTGTCTGATACTCGTTATTTTTTTTACAGACAAGCTACAGGAGTTGTGACTTGGTTGTATGTTCTACCGTATTTCCACTCTTTAATTAGGCAAAATACAGCCATCACAAATGAAAGTAATTTAACATTTTTTGATAATTTTGTATTATCAACAAACGGCTATTTATATTTTGAGATGATTCACAAGTTCTTCCAGTCTCATTGCAGTTTTGATATCACCTTCTAACTTTAAATTCCCACTATTATAGGCAGAAAATGCCCCTATTTTTCCAGACAAAAGTTTATGTAGTGTACTGAAGCTTAGAATCAAAGTTGCGTCAGGTGTACCAACAGGAAGTCTCCCTTTGCCACAACTACCTCCTCCAATCTTCAAGTCAATAAAATAATAATTTCCATTATCAGTAAGTTTAATCTCAAATGCAGCATCAACATTATAAAGCATATCTTCATCAATAACACTCCCAGCATCATTGATTAGATCACCTGCCTCTTTTTCAATATCAACCACTGGTATATTTGTAGATGTCTCACTGACTTTATTCATACTGGCATATTGTTGGTTTAAACCACCAGCTCCAGCAAAACCTAAAAGCTGCTGCGTCATGCCCATTACATCACCGCCTCCCCCGAATCCAGATTTTAATTTATCGAGAAATCCAGTTTGTTGCACAGGTGGGGAGACTTCTGCAACTGGTTGAGACAATTCTACTCTTCCGATTTCGAGCCCCCAATCACGAGCAACTTCATTAATCTCAGTTTGAATGTCATAATTGTAACGAGATCCACTTGACATTACCTCTGAAAAAAGCTTTTTGCTTAGGATTTTTGACATAGCTGATTGTGCCATTGTTCTGATGGAGTGATTCATATCTTTTAAACTATTGTTTGCACGCAAAGGATTTTGCACACGAAAATGAACAACACTACCGATTAAAATTAATCCGCCATCGGAAGTACAAACTCTGGTTGGTGGAACGTTGAAAGCCTTGGTACGTAGATCTACTTTGTTCCACCGATCAATGCAAGGAAGAATAAGAACAATGCCAGGCCCTTTGAGTGGCATTAGATGTCCGATCCTGTAAACGACTATTCTTTCATATTGGTGTACCATCTTAAAGCAAACGATTGCTGAAAATGGCAAAGTTATTATAAAAAGAAAATATGCAAAAAACTGGACTGCACCAGTGCATATGGTAACCCACCATGGATGAGAGGGATTCATATACTGAAATTCTGGTTCCATATCAATAGACACAGCACTATATTTAGTCCCAGATGAAGCAGATTTCCCAGTGTTTGAAAAAGTGAATGTTGAACGAAAGTCTAATCCAGGACCTTTTCTCAAAGGTTCATATGTATACATGCTTTTCGAAAGGTGATTTAATTATCTATTTGTAGACAGAAATCACTGCACAGTTACACTAATAGAGCTATAGACAGATAGAATTGTAGAAGGAGAGGGAGAGTTTATTTCATATTTCAAACCAGAAAAAGCACAATTCATGCGTACATACATATATATAAATAAACAAATGTCTTCGATATACAGAAATATAACTGGCCGACAAGTGACAACATTACAACCTTTTGAGGTGATCAGTCTGTTGCCACCCAATACAGTTACACGAGGAATAAAATAATTAAACAGGTTTCAGGGTTTAGTGGCAATTTCATTGATACCTCTCCATCTTTATTTACTATATCAGTCACAGTGGCGTAATAAGGCCCACCAAAGTATGCGGATGGTCGTCCAAAAAGCTCACCCGAAATCGAGCAAGCTATTTCTCTCGTTTCCTCGTCACAACGATCCTGATAGGAGAGAGATCGCCAGCTTTAGCGAGTTCGTTATCGACGGCGCAGATGCCATTTTGGGCGATAGTAATTTCAATTTGACAAGCCCTACATGACGTGATGGTGACGTCGTAGTGACGTAATTTTTGGATGGCATAGCCAGGTGGGGGTTAGGAATAACACATGCAAATTCGTTATGCTATGCCCACTGGAAGCACCACTAACTATACTAGACCCGGTCGGGTCATGTGTAGTTTCGTACCTAACGTACTTCTATTGGGCGTGTATAACAATTTTTTGAATAGTCAATCCTAACCCCCATCTGACTACGCCATTCAAAAATTACGTCACTACGACATCACAATCATGTCATAGAGCTTGCTAAATCGCCCGAGATGGCATTGGCGCCGACGATAAAAAACTGACTGACGTTATCGATCTCTCTCCTATTGGAATCATCGCGACGAGAAAACGAAAGAAATAACTGTTCGATTTCGGGTGCTCGTTTGCGCGTCTTGGATGGCAGTTCGTATAGTTTGAAGGGCTCTATTACATCACTGTGACGTTGTAATGACGTAATTTTTGGATGATGTAGTCAGATGGGGGTTAGGATTGATACGTGAAAAAATTGTCATGCTACGCCCACTAGAAGTATGTTAGGTACGAAACTACATGAGACCCCATTGGGTTTAGTACTGCTACCACAAGTACTTCCAGTGGGCATAGCATAACGAATTTTGCATAGGGTATTTCTAACCCCCACGTGACTATGCCATCCAAAAATTACCGTATGTCATTACGACATTACCGTCACGTCATACAGTCATAAGCAGGGTTGCCAGACCCCAGCGATCAAAAAAAGCCAAATCAAGACATAAAAAAAGCCAGAAAAAGTCAAACAATTTTACTAAGTACAAAAGCCCCATGATTTGTCAGATTTTAAGCCCTTGGCAACGTACTGATGATGATGTAGAGCCATCAGTTCATTCAGTGAGGCACACAAATAGAAAGTAAAGTTCCTATAGAACTGTAGAAAGTAAAATAAATATCAAGCGGGCAGCATTATTTTACCATTCAATATATACAATACAGGGTGTCGCTTCAGTCTGTCAGTATGTAATATACCGTACCTACAATATGTTTCTACTTAAACTTGTGATACAACTTTAAAAATTTTCCCTATATCGTACTTTACTATTGAAAAATTTTTCACTTTTTAAAATTTATAAACCATCAATTTTATTAAAAAATTATCTAACCCCCTGCTGCTCACAGGTGGACCCCTGATATCTAATTCAGTAATTTTAGGGTAGTCAATCACATCGTTACTGCAATTGCAGAATTAAACTAAAGCTGAAAGCTCACATAAACCATATCAGGCATAATGAGAATTGAGTTATACAACTATTTTTTGGAAACAGAACGTAAACTCACAAATAACATGCAAAACTATAAAAACGAGGCAATGTTTACAACCCTGCTTGAACATCTGTCTGAGCAGCTGCAAAAACTGCACTTATTTCTTATCGGGTATGGGTAAGAGTTAATGTAACAAACAAGGAAATCGATGCTCCAGGAAATCCTAATGTTAGGTAGCTAAGTACGGTACGAGAGGATTGCTGGACTCCTCGCCGTCGTTGGGTGGTTCACGTAACCGCTGGTCGGTTACGGCTTCCTCCACCACCAAGTCCATGCTTCCGAAAACAAACAATACAGTAAAACTAATCCCATACCCGACTTGGAATGGTAACCGGACGAGAGGCCGTGGTTCGCCATATGGATAAGCTGTCTTATCGGCTTTCCTCTCCCCCGGGGTAAGTATGTAAATCCTATCCTATCCTAACACTTTCATTACTGGGGAGCTTAAAAATATGAAGAATCTTATTTTCTTAAGTAAAAACAAAGTACAAGTACAATATTTTTGCATATAAGATGGCAAATATGTATTTAGTGGTTCATCTACCTTGAAAACCCACCCTTCATTTTCAATATTTCTTTTTTATTAGAATTAGGTATTGCGTGTTTCAGTATAAACTGACTGCAGGAAAATATTTTACTCAGGTTCAGTTTCGTAAATTCGTCCCAAATATATGTATGACAATTTATTTAGTCATATCAACTATTATTCGATATTTCCATTGTAGGCCAGACAAAAAATACGTTTAGTGGCAATAGATCTTTCTCTGTTATTCTTTTTTGACTGTTAAATTACATTTCTTTACAAAATCTGCTCCAATTTATTTGAAATTTTACAGTAAATAGCAAAAATTTTGGTGCGAGAAATTCATAAATGAAGGAATTGTTTTTTAAGTTCTAAATTTGAATCAAAAAAGAAACTTAAGTTTTATAAACTGCTATTAAAAACGGTGGGGTTATTAATAGGTTGCTAATATACACTAATGGGTGTGAGATTGTATACCGATATTGTGTTAAGCGTGATTCAGTCTGAATACTGAGATATTCAAATCAAGGTTTCCCAATCAGGGGGGCGAGGGGTCGAGCGACGAATTTTAGGGGTCGCGAAGAGCACACCAATTTCACAAAAAGTTCAATATTTATTGGAACTAGTGCAAAACCTAAATCTCACGATTTCGAATATGATCGGGGTAGCGGCGCGCTTGTATAGCAATGCCGGCTTTGATTATTAGACCCGAGAAGTGACGTGTTGGTGTTTCTAAATCACCCGCGGGCCGCATGCCGTATGTTGTGCAGGCCTGTTCTATGGATACTGCCAATGTCAGCAAAATTTGCAAAGCTATCCGGAGATTGGGGAAATCCAGACAAGACTCTTTGACAGTTTTGCTGAGTTTTGCTGTAATCTTCCAACGCAGACATGAGCAAAGTACGGCCCGTGCATGGGCCAAATCCGGCCCGGTTGGTAATTTATCTGGCCCGCCTGATGCTGTCAAAATCAAACTGAAATCAAATTTTGATGTTTTATATCAAATAGCTCAAGAAATTTGTTGAGATTGCGGTTGAATTTAGTTTTGGCACGAGGCGTATTGTTTTTCACCTTTGCTTTGTAACACTGTAAATATTGTTTACAAAATATAGCTTTTCACGTAACACTTACATGGCCCGCCTGTCCAGGTGTCCAAAGTTTTTGGCCCGGTTAAAAAACCTTGCCCAACCCTGGTCTAACGTCTAAGAACAGAAGAACGAGAGCGAGTTCGCTGAATATCGCGATACTCCAACGTTCACACCAATTCCCTGGATCTCATCCCTGCCCTATATCTATTTTACATTGCACCAGGTTTGTTTGAATATTTGTGATAATGTGGATGTTATTGAAAAGTCGGCCCTTAATATTGTCATCTTTTTTATGAGACGTTCTTGTATGAACCCCTCACCCCGGACAAGGCTCTAGACCAGCCAACCCAGTCCCAGAAGCCATCTGTGGCCGCAACTAATATATATATTTATTTTGCCAAGGCCCGCATATTAAATACCACGTCACACACCATGAACTAACAGTTTTTTGTAAAATATAGAGAATATGAAAGATTAATAATGGCTTCAAGAAGTAATAAGATATAGACAGCATAGAACTTTATTTGTCTGTCCAGACCAATGACATTAAACAACATGATGCGCAACTCCGGCATTTTTGGCCGGAGATCGTATTCGATAGCACGCTCCAATGCACATACTTGACGAGACGAAAACGAGCGAATGTGTGCTGCTTTCAAGGCATAGCACGAATGGTGTTCGTGCCTGCTTTGACAGTTGTTGTCGATTTTAATGATATATTGGAAAATTGAAGGTAAAAAAAAATCGGAAAAAAGTAAGGTAAATACTATTGTTGTATATCACACTCGGGCATCGCACTGTTAAGTACATGTGGGAAAGCCAGCTTTTGTCAAATACTACGAAGTTATTAAATCAGTACGGTACGTAGTTGCCCATTTGCCGAAATTGCTTATTTACTTACCCCTTATGGTTTCAAATAGTTCATACACCTCCATTTCGATTTTTTTTATTCAGTGAGGATATATACTCATTGCTGTAACATACTATTGCTCATTCTCTTTTATTTGCGTATTGAATCAAAGGGTTAACAAGTTCACCTAACATTTCACTCATACCCGTCTATATTGTATAGTCTGATCTCTCAAGTATTTGGAGCCACCGATGCTTGTAATTTTCTGACTAAACCCCTTTATTAGTTGGTTTATATACCAAATTCAGTAAAACATTTTTTACATAAAACATGAGATATTGGATTTATTAGCTTTTCCAATCTAAATCATATAGACTGCTTTATTTATTCTGAACGAAAATTATTGAATCTCCTCTCTTTCTTCAGATGTGAAAGTTTTGGAAAAACCTGTCTAAGCATTGTGGGACTCCTACAGCACAAGAGGCAATAGCAAAAATAGTAAGTATATCAATCAAGAAATTAAGCCGACATAAAGCAAAACTTTCAACTATTCGTTCAACCTCAATTTCCTAATATTTATTCACAGGACAACTGTAGCAGAAGGGGATATTTCAGAAGTCTGGCGACATATCAGTGACAGTGTGATTCCAAGAAATACAATCAGAATACTCCATAAATGTTTGCAATAGAAGAACAACCTATGGAGGCATGCAAAGACATATGAACCTCCGGTAGAGTTGTGTATGGCCCCTACATCCCGCAGGGCTTGAGGAAAATAACTAAAAATTCCGAAGCGTAAGATTGCATAAGCGGTCTTCTTTGTAAAAAGGCACAAAACATGCCAGACATACTTAAAACAGCTTTGGAAAATGAGGATTATGGGTCACTCACTACACCTGTGTTATATTTGATTCATCAACTTTTGGTAGTACTAAAGAAGAAATTCAGGAAAGGGTATAATCATGATTCATGATAAAATACTGTTATATATTTTGGACAACTTCAATCTAGACCAGGGATATCAAACTCGCGGCCTCAGAGAACTTCCAGTGAGGCCCTCGAACGCTTAACAATAATTGTAATAGTATTTTGGAGTTTTTTTTTTATCTAAG